GGCTGTAAAATAAAATCATCTGGGGCTCCCCTTTTTAGAAAATTGAGGTGAAATTCACCTAACAGGCTGGAGGCGCGGTGGCTTAGCCTGTAATCTCAGCACTTTGGGAGGCCAAGGCAGGTGGATCACGAGATCAAGAGATCCGTACCATCTTGGCCAACATGGTGAAACCCTATGTCTACTAAAAATACAAAAATTAGTGGGGCGTGGTGGCGCATGCCTGTAGCCCCAGCTACTTGGGAGGCTGAGGCAGGAGAATTGCTTGAACCTGGGAGGTGGAGGCTTTGGTGAACTGAGATGGTGCCACTGCACTCCAGCCTGGCAACAGAGTGAGACTCTGTCTCAAAAAAAAAAAAAAAAATCACCTAAAAAAATCTACCATTTCAATCATTTTAAGTGCATAATTTAGTGGTTTTTAGTAAATTCACAGTGTTGTGCAATTATCACCACTTTCTAATTCCAAAACATTTCTATCACCCCCAAAATAAACCTTATATCCGTTAAGCAGTCATTGTACATTTTCCCCTACTCCATCTTCTGGTAATCACTAATCTACTTTCTGCCTATGGATTTGCTTATTCTAGATGTTTCATATAAATAGAATCACACAGTATGTGCCTTTTATATCTGGCTTCTTTCGCTTGGCATGTTTTCAAGGTTCATCCATGTTGTAGCATATATTAATACTTCATTCCTTTTGTTTCCCCATAGTGGCTACACCATTTTACATTCGTATCAATAATACGATGTACTAGAGTTCCAGTTTCTCCAGCATCCTCACCAACACTATTTTCCATTATTTTTAAAATAGCCAGCCATCAGAGTGGGTATAAAGTGGTATTTCATTGCGGTTTTGATTTGTGTTTCCCTCATGACTAATGATTTGAGTATTTTTAAATATTTTTTTAGACAGGGGCTTAATCTGTCACCCAGGCTGGAGTGCTGTGGCATGGATCTTGGTTCACTGCAGCCTTGACACCCTGGGCTCAATTGATCCTCCATCCTCCCACCTAAGCCTCCCAACTAGCTGGGACTACAGGTACGCTACCACATCTGGCTAAATTTTGTATTTTTTTGTATAGGGTTTTGCCATGTTTTCTGGGCTCGTCTCAGACTCCCGGGCTCAAGTGATCCACCAGTCTCGGCCTCTCAGAGTGTTGGGATTACAGACTGGGATTATAGCCCACTGTGACTCAAGTGATCCACCAGTCTCGGCCTCTTAGAGTGTTGGGATTACAGCCCACTGTGCTGGGTTACTTTTGCATTTGATGTCTTTTTCTTTTTTTTTGGAAACAAGGCCTTGCTCTGTTGCCCAGGCTGGAGTGCAGTGGTGTGATCACAGCTTACTGCAGCCTCAATCTTCTTTTTTTTTTTTTTTTTTTTTTGAGATGGAGTCTCGCTCTATCATCGCCCAGGTTGGAGTGCGGTGGTGCCTACTCGGCTCACTGCAAGCTCCGCCTCCCGGGTTCATGCCATTCTCCTGCCTCAGCCTCCCGAGTAGCTGGGACTACAGGCATGCACCACCACGCCTGGCTAATTTTTTGTATTTTTCAGTAGAGATGGGGTTTCACAGTGTTAGCCAGGATCGTCTCGATTTCCTGACCTCGTGATCCGCCTGCCTCGGCCTCCCAAAGTGCTGGGATTACAGGCGTAAGCCACCGCGCCCGGCCTGTAGCCTCAACCTTCTGGGCTTAGGTGATCCCTCCTCCTTAGCCTGCCAAGTAGCTGGGACTGCAGGCATTAGCTGCTATGCCTGGCTAATTTTTATTTTTATTTTACTATTATTTTTTGAGACAGGGTCTCGCTCTGTCACCCAGGCTGGAGGGCAGTGGTGTGATCTTGGCTCACTGCAACCATGTTGGCCAGGCTGGTCTTGAACTCCTCACCTCAAGTGATACACCCACCTCAGCCTCCTAAAGTGCTGGGATTATAGACATGAGCCACTGTGCCTGGCCAGAAATAAAATTTTTAAAATTTCAGTTTTGATTGTTTAGGGGTAGCATATAGGAATGCAATTGATTTTTGTATGTTGACTTGTTTCCTGCATTGATACAAGGCAAGATGAACCTTGATGAACTGTTGATTAGTTATAATAGTTTTTTTGTTGTTGTTGTTTTGAGATGGAGTTTCACTCTTGTTGCCCAGGCTGGAGTGCCTGATAGCATGATCTTGGGTCACTGCAACCTCCACCTCCTGGGTTTAAGCAATTCTCCTGCCTCAGCCTCCCAAGTAGCTGGGATTACAGGTACCTGCCACCACGCCTGGCTAATTTTTGTATTTTTTTTTTTTTTTTGAAACAGAGTCTCACTCTGTTCCCCAGGCTGGAGTGCAGTGGCACCATCCTAGCTCACTGCAAGCTCCGCCTCGCAGGTTCATGCCATTCTCCTGCCTCAGCCTCCTGAGTAGCTGGGACTACAGGCGCCTGCCACCATGCCTGGCTAATTTTTTGTATTTTTAGTAGAGATGGGGTTTCACCATATTGGCCAGGCTAGTCTCAAACTCCTGACCTCAAGTGATCCGCCTGCCTCAGCCTCCTGAAGTGCTGGGATTACAAGTGTGAGTCACTGCACCTGGCCTGTAATAGTTTTTTAATGTGTTTCTTAGTGTTTTTTTTTTTTTTTTTTTTTGAACACAAGTCATGTCATCTGCAAATCATGATAGTTTTACTTATTTCTAAGTTGAATATCTTTTATTTCTCCTTGCTTAATTGTTCTGCCTAGAACCCTAAGTATAATGTTCAATGATGAAAGCAGACATTGTTTTTTTTGAGACAGAACCTCGCCCTGTTGCCCAGGCTGCAGTGACTGGGACCACAGGCTTGCCACCATTGTTCAGCTAATGTTTTTATTTTTTGTAGAGACAGGGTCTTGCTATGTTGATGAGGCTGGTATCTTAACTTGTGGGCTCAAGCCATCCTCCTGCCTTGGCCTCCCAAAGTACTGGGATTATAGGGGTGAGCCACTGTGCCCAGCCTTTTTTTTTCTTTTTGAGACAGGGTCTTGCTCTGTTGCCCAGTTGCCTAGGCTGAAGTTCATTGGCATGATCATAGCTCATGGCAGTTTCAGACACACTCAAGCTGTCGTCCTGCCTCAGCCTCTTGAGTAGCTGGGACTGTAGGTGCTCACCACTGTGCCTTGCTAACTTTTTTTTTTTTTTTTGAGATGAAGTCTCACTCTGGCACCCAGGCTGGAGTGCAGTGGCACAATCTCAGCTCACTGCAACCTCCGCCTCCTGACTTCAAGTGATTCTCCTGCCTCAGCCTCTGGAGTAGCTGGAATTACAGTCACATGCCGCCACACCCAGCTAATTTTTGTATTTTTAGTAGAGATGGGGTTTTACCACGTTGGCCAGGCTGGGCTTGAACTCCTGACCTCAGGTGATCAGCCCACCTCGGCCTTCCATCCTGTAGAGACAGGATGCCATGTCTTGTCTCTACAAAAAAAAAAAACCAAAAAAAAACGTTGCATAGGATGGTCTCAAATTCCTTGACCTCAAGTGATCCTCCTGCCTTGGCCTCCCAAAGTGTTGGGATTACAGGGGTGAGCCACTGTGCCCAGCTGAAAGGAAACTTTCTTGCCTTGCTCCTTGTTGAAAGGAGAAAGCATTTAGTCATTTACCTTTAAATATGACGTTAGCTTATTAGTTACGGGATTTTTGTAGATGTCCTTTATCAGGTTGAGGCATTTGGTATTTAAAAAATCTTAACTTAGGTAACATAGTGAGATCCTATCTTATAAGGAATAAAAAGTAAATTAGCCAGGTATGCTGACACACCCCTGTGGCCCCAGCTGCACAGGAAGCTGAGGTGTGGGAGGGTTGCTTGAGCTAAGGAGGATGAGGCGATCGTGAGCTACGATCATGCACTCTAGCCTGGCCAACAGAGCGAGACCTTGTCTCAAAAAAGAAGAAAAACTTGTAAGTAAATTATAATATGTAGTCAAGAAAAGCAGTTATCTAAATTGATGTTTAAAGAACTAGGATACATTTCTATATTGTTGATACTGAAATTTCACCATGGAGAATGAGATTTGTATATTTATATAGTTTTTTTGTTTGTTTTTGAGACAGAATTGCCCTCTTGTCGCCCAGGCTGGAATGCAGTGGCGCAATCTCTGCTCACTGCAGCCTCTGCCTCCTGGGTTCAAGTGATTCTCCTACCTCAGTCTCCTTAGTAGAGTAGCTGGAATTACAGGCACACGCTACCATGCCTGGCCAATTTTTGTATTTTTAGTAGAGACACGGTTTCCCCATGTTGGCCAGGCTGGTCTCTAACTCCTCACGTCAAATGATCCACCCGCCTCAGCTTCCCAAAGTGCTGGGATTACAGGCATGAGGCACCGTGCCTGGTCTGTGTTTCCCTCTATAGAAAAATAACATTTTTTCCCTATACTTTTCTAAAAAAAATTCCTCTATATTTTTAATAAGTAGTAGACTAGTTAAGAAATCCAGTTTTACTTCTGTTAGATAGGGTTATCTTTTCCTTTTACAAGATTAAATTGGGGCTGGGCACGGTGGCTCACTCCTGTAACCCCAGCACTTTGGGAGGCCAAGGTGGGCAGATCACCTGAGGCCAGGAGTTCAATACCAGCCTGACCAACATGGTGAAACCCCTTCTCTACAAAAATACAAAAATTAGGCTGGGTGTGGTGGCTCATGTCTGTAATCCTAGCACTATGGGAGGCTGAGGCGGTGGATCACCTGAGGTCAGGAGTTTGAGACCAGCCTGGCCAACATGGTGAAACCCTGTCTGTACTAAAAATACAAAAATTAACTAGTGTGGTGGCACGTGCCTGTAGTCCCAGCTACTCGGGAGGCTGAGGCAGGAGGATTGCTTGAACCTGGGAGGCAGCGGTTGCAGTGAGCCAAGATCGTGCCACTGCACTCCACCCTGGGCAACAAAGCGATACCGTCACAAAAGACTAAGTTGAATAGCTTCTAGAAAACTTTAAGTAAATTTTGATCTTTTTATTCTAGACAAAATTATTGTCCTTTTATTCTAGACAAAAGGATGCCACGGAGAAAGAAAAAAGTTAAAGAAGTCTCCGAATCTCGGAACCTGGAGAAGAAGGATGTGGAAACTACCACTTCTTTCAGTGTGAAGAGGAAGCGTAGACTTGAGGATGCATTCATTGTGATATCCGATAGTGATGGAGAGGTAAGTAAAGTAGAGCTGAAAAGTAGAGCTGTAGCTCTCAAACTATGCTTCTTTACCCGTGGGGAGTTTGTTTTGTGACTGACCTCACCTTAATGCCAGCTCACCAAAACCATGAAATTTTTACTCAGCTTTGTTTTAATTTGTAAATGGAGTTAAGAATTACTTAAGGAAGTAATCCTGTTGCTTAGTTGAGGATGGATCATAGTGCTTCAGTTTTGTAATATAGTAATCCAAAGTGGCATTTTGGAACTATTTGAATAATCTAAATCAATTGAAAATCTTAGTTTTGATATGTCTAGAAAGTGAGAGGAAAAACATGTGAATGTTTTTAAATCTTTTGATATGTTCTAGATATAATAGCACCTAGTCACCTATAGCTGTTTAAAAATAACTGAAGTTAAAAATCAACTTCTCTGTTGCACTAGTCACATTTCAAGTGATTAAAGACACGTAAGGCTACTGTCAATTGTATTAGACAGCAGAGCTATACGACATTTTTAGCATTTTAGAAAGCTTTATTCTCCAGAATAAAGATTGTAACTTTTTTCCTTTATCCTGTATTTCCATTTGTTTATTGGAGTTTTCTACCTGCCTTCAGGTCTCATCTCAAAGGCAGTGAATTAACTCATTGTTTATTCCTTCAGATTTTCTTATCTTTCTCCTGTACTTTTTTTTTTTTTTTTCTGGAGCCAGGTTCTCCCTCTGGTCATGTAGGCTGGAGTTTGGTGTTAGCTCAGCTCACTCCAGCTTCCTTCTCCTGGTCCCACCTCAGCCCCCATGTAGCTGGGACTACAGGTGCGAGCCATTATGCCTGGCTAATTTTTGTATTTTTTTTGTAGAGATGGGATTTCACCATGTTGCCCAGGATAGTATCGAACTCCCAGCCTCAAGCAATCCTGCCTCGGCCTCCTGAAGTGCTGGGGTTACAGATGTGAGCCACTGCATCTGGCCAAAAAATGACATATTTTTGGTTAGCAAGATTGAGCATTTCTTTTTTTTTTTTTTTTTTTTTTTGAGATGGAGTCTCGCTCTGTCGCCCAGGCTGGAGTGCAGTGGCGCAATCTCGGCTCACTGCAAGCTCCGCCTCCCGGGTTCACGCCATTCTCCTACCTCAGCCTCCCCAGTAGCTGGGACTACAGGCGCCCGCCACTGCACCCGGCTAATTTTTTTTTTCTATTTTTTAGTAGAGACGGGGTTTCACCATGGTCTCGATCTCCTGACCTTGTGATCCGCCCGCCTCGGCCTCCCAAAGTGCTGGGATTACAGGCGTGAGCCACCGCGCCCGGCCAAGATTGAGCATTTCTTTACATCTTTATTGGTTTTTAAAAAACGTTTCTTGGCTGGGTGTGGCAGCTCATGCCTATAATCCCAGCACTTTGGGAGGCTAAGGTGAGTGCATCACAAAGTCAGGAGATTGAGACCATCCTGGCTAACATGGTCAAACCCCGTCTCTACTAAAAATACCAAAAATTAGTCGGGTGTGGTGGAACGTGCCTGTAGTCCCAGCCACTCAGGAGGCTGAGGCAGGAGAATTGCTTGAATCCCGGAGGCGGAGGTTGCAGTGAGCTGAGATCGCGCCACTGCACTCCAGCCTGGGTGACAGAGGGAGACTCCGTCTCAAAAACAAAACAAAACAAAACCACGTTCCTTATAGTTTAGTTTTTAATTAGGACTTTTGTCTACATAGTTCATCTTAAGTGCATAAAAGTGTAGAGAAGAAAACAAGGGCTAAGTACATCCCTGGTGACTCATGCCTATAATCCCAGTGCTTCGGGAAGCTGAGACAGGATTGCTTGAGGCCAGGCATTTGAGACCAGCCTGAGCAACACAGAAAGACCCTGTCTCTACAAAAAGTACAAAACTTAGCTCGGCATGGTGGCATGCGCCTGTAATCCCAGATACCTGGGAAGCTGAGGCAGGTGGGAGAATTGCTTGAGCCTAGGAGTTCAAGGAATTTGATACTGCAATGAGCTATGATTGTACCATTGCACTCCATCTGAAAAAGAAAGAAAACAAAACAATTGTATTTCTTGGATATCATCTTAATATTAACAAAAATAAAAATATTAAATACACAAATAGATACGGATATGTTAAAAAAGTTGTATACATAGATGTTTAAAAGAAAAAAACCAAGCCATAACAAAATAGTTTAGAAAGGTATGAAATGAAAATGTATACTACAGACATTTAACCATAAGAAATAATTTCTTTTTCATTTTTAAAATAATTTTTTGATGTCATCCGTGTGATCTGAAGGCAGTAATTTCTTCTGTGTCCTTGGAAAACAATTTTTACGTATATAGTATCAGTGGAGATTTTTACAGGAAACAAATCATGCTGTAGAAACTGTTTTGCTTTTTTTCCACTTAATATCTGTGTTAGGTCCTCCAGAGACATAGAACCAATAGGATGGGCAGATGGATGGATGGATGGATGCATGGACGGACAGACGGACGGACAGACGGAATTTATTAAGGGAATTGGCTCATGTAATTATGGAGAATGAAAACTCCCCACAATAGGCTGTTTGCAAGCTGGATACCCTGGGATGCCAGTAGTATGGCTCAGTGCAAGTCTGAAGGCCTGAGAACAAGGGGTAAGGGGTGCTGAGTGTAAGGCCTGAAATCCAAGGCCTGGAGAGCCTGGAGTTCTGATGTCCAAGGGTAGGAGAAGAATAATGTGTCCCAGCTCCAGGAGAGAGATAAATTTGCCTTTCCTATGTTTTTATTCTATTTAGCCCCCCAGCCAGTTGTGTGGTGTTCACCCATATTGAGAGCGGATCTTCCCCACTTAGTCACTGAGACTCACACTCCAATCCCCTCTGCAAACACCCGCACAGACACACCAGAAAATAATACTTTACTAGTTCTCTGGGTATTTCTTACTCCAGTCAAACTGATACCTAAAATTAACCATTACAGTATTTCCTGGAGACCTTTCTATAGCAGCACATATGTATGTCATATGTCATATATGTTATACATACAGAAATGTGCATAAAATATAAATGCATAGTTTTAAAAATTAATGTGAACACTTGTAGTTACCACCTGAGAATCCCTCTTCTCTTAGTGTGTCCCTCCCCAAATGCATTCTTTTCCACCTTTCTTTTGTTTTTTTTTGAGATGGAGTCCTGCTCTGTCACCCAGGCTGGAGTGTAGTGGCGCGATCTCAGCTCACTGCAACCTCCGCCTCCCAGGCTCAAGCAATTCTCCTGCCTCAGCCTCCTGAGTAGCTGGGATTACAGGCATGCGCCACCACGCCTCACTAATTTTTATATTTTTAGTAGAGATGGGGTTTCACCATGTTGGCCAGGCTGGTCTCGAACTCCTGACCTCAGGTGATCTGTCCGCCTTGGCCTCCCAAAGTAGTGGGATTACAGGCATGAGCCACCTCACCCAGCTCTTTTCTACCTTTCTGAAGGTAACCACTGTTTATTTTATCTTCCCATATTTCTCCTTACAGTTTTACCACATTTACATGTATCCCTAAACAGCATGCATATATTTTGAAAAACTAAGTACTGGTGATTAGACATGTCTACCAGTATTTTCCAGTAATCTCTCAATTCCCCAGATATTTGAAATTTTCCCTTTATCATAAACTAAAATCTTGTTTATAAATGGGTGTGTCTCTGGATTTTTTTCTTCCATTAATCTGTCACATATTTTTATAATTGTTCAGTTGATTGTCTTGGGTATTTTAGGTAGGCATTTATCTCTGCTGATAACGACCAATTTTTTCTCTTTCTTTCTAGCACTTACACCTTTTTCTGTTTTGTTTTCATTGCTTTAGCTGTGGCTTCCAGAATAATGTTGATTGATACTAGCAATAGAGCACATCTTTTATTTCTGATGTTTTGCCATTTGTTTCATATTTCTGTTTTTATGTTAAGGAACTATCCTTTATTTTTTATTTTTTTTTTTTTTTTGAGACGGAGTCTGGCTCTGTCGCCCAGGCTGGAGTGCAGTGGCCGGATCTCAGCTCACTGCAAGCTCCGCCTCCTGGGTTTACGCCATTCTCCTGCCTCAGCCTCCCGAGTAGCTGGGACTACAGGCGCCGCTACCACACCCGGCTAGTTTTTTGTATTTTTTTTAGTAGAGACGGGGTTTCACCGTGTTAGCCAGGATGGTCTCGATCTCCTGACCTCGTGATCCGCCCGTCTCGGCCTCCCAAAGTGCTGGGATTACAGGCTTGAGCCACCGCGCCCGGCCGGAACTATCCTTTAATTGCTTATTTACTAGTAGTAGGTTTAGGAATTATGTTTAATCAAATACCCTTTATTTAGCAAGATGATGGAGTAGTTTTTCTCCTTTAATCAACTAATATTATATATTGGATTAGTATTTTCTAATGTTGGAACATCTTTGCATTTCTGGAATAAATCATGCTTGGTCATGATGTGTTATGTTAATATAATATTGATTTTTTTTCTCAATATATTATTTAGGAGTTTTGCATCTGTACTCCTAGTGCCATTGGCTTTATAAAGTTTTTTTTGGGGGGGGGCTATGGCCTTCATCAGATGTTAGTATTAGGGTTATGGTATAAAAGAGAAGGAAAGCTTATTATTTTTTTCTATGTCCTACCACAATTTAAATAGTATAGGAATTATTTGTTTTACAGGGTTTCCTAAAAATCTCCCGTAAAACTGGGCTACCAACTGAATTTTTTTTTTTTTTTTTTGAGATGGAGTCTCGCTCTGTCGCCCAGGCTGGAGTCTCCCTCTGTTGCCCAGGCTGGAGTGCAGTGGCGTGATCTCTGCTCACTGCAAACTCCACCTCCTGGGTTCACGCCATTCTCCCGCCTCAGCCTCCTGAGTAGCTGGGACTACAGGCGCCCATCACCACGCCCGGCTAATTTTTTTTTTTATTTTTAGTAGAGATGGGGTTTCACCGTGTTAGCCAGGATGGTCTTGATCTCCTGACCTCGTGACCCACCTGCCTCAGCCTCCCAAAGTGCTGGGATTACAGGCGTGAGCCACCGCGCCCGGCGTACCAACTGATTTTTAATATGTATTTCATATTCTTGTAGTGTCTTGGTATTGTTGTATATGGAAAAAAGTCTTTTTTTCTGCTTTAGAATAGAAAAAAGCAGTTGGAATCATCTTAGGAACACATTTGTTTTTTGTTTTGTTATTTATTTTTATTTTTTTAATATGTATTTTTTTGAGATAGAGTCTCGCTTTGTTGCCCAAGCTGGAGTGCAATGGCATGATAGTGGCTCACTGCAACCTCCGCCTCCTGGTTCAAGTGATTCTGCCTGCCTCAGCCTGTGGAATAACTGGGATTAAAGGTGCCTGCCACCACACCTGTGTAATTTTTGTATTTTTAGTAGAGGGGGGGTTTTACCATGTTGGCCAGGCTGGTCTTGAACTCCTGACCTCAGGTGATCTGCCCACCTTGGCCTTCTAAAGTGTTGGGATTACAGGCGTGAGCCACTGCACCTGGCCTTTGTTTTTGTTTGTTTGTGTTTTTTGGTGTCTTTTTTTTTGAGACAGAGTCTTGCTTTGTCATCCAGGCTGGAGTGCAGTGGCACAGTGATGTGATCTTGGCTCACTGCAGTTTCCATTAATAGTATGTACTTTATATGATTTTAATCATTTTTAAACTTAGTCAAACTTGTTTTATGGCCCAGAATATTCTATGTGTACTACAGAAGAATGCACATTTTGGCTAGTGATTTCTGTAAATGTCAATCTGATAAAGTTTGATGATAGTGTTGTTCAAATCTACTTTATATTTATTGGTTTTCTGTCTATTCTACAAATATTTTGAGGAGGCTTTTGAAGTCTGACCATAGTTGTGAATTTGTCTTACTTCTCTTTTTTTTTTTTTTGAGACAGTCTTACTCTGTTGCCTTAGGCTGCAGTGCAGTGGTGCAATCTTGGCTCACTGCAACCTCTGCCTCCTGGGTTCAATTGATTCTCATGCCTCAGCCTCCTGAGTAGCTGGGATTACAGGCATATGCCACCACGCCTGGCTAATTTTTGTATTTTTAGTAGAGATTGGGTTTCATCATGTTAGCCAGGCTGGTCTCAAACTTCTGACCTCAGGTGATCCGCCCACCTGGGCCTCCCAAAGTGCTGGGATTACAGGTGTGAGCCACTGCACCTGGCCCACAGTTAATTTTAGAACATTTTCCACCCTCCATGGCCACTGCCCTCGCCAGCCTCACACCACACTATACTCTGCCAGTCTGCATGGCCCAGTAGCAGCGGCCTAGAACATTTTCATTACCCCCCAGAAAAAAACCCATTTTCATTAGCAGTTACTCTCCATTTTCCCCTAAACCCCTAGCCCTTGAAAACCGCTAATCTACTTTCTATATAGATTTGCCCATTCTGGGCATGTCTTATAAATGGAATTATATGATGTATGTGGCCTTTTGTCTGGCTTCTTTCAATTATGTATTTTCAAGGTACATTCATTTTGTAGTGTGTATCAGTACCTAATTTCTTTTTTTTTCCCACAGTGGTGGCACTGTTTTATATTCCCACCAACAATGTACTAGGGTTCCAGTTTTTCTAATCCTTGCCAATGCTTATTTTCTGATTTGAAACAAATTATTTTAATTATCCTAGTGAGTGTGAAGTGATATCTTATTGTGATTTTAATTTGTATTTCCCTGATGACTAATGATGTTGGGCATCTTTTCGTGTACTTCTTGGACATTTCTATATCTTCATTTTCAGAGAAATTCTGTTCAAACGCTTTGCCCAGTTTTTTTATTTATTTATTTTTAGAGATGGGATGTTGCTTTGTCTCCCAGGCTGGAATACAGTGGTGCGATCTTGCTTGCTGCAGCCTGGAAGTCCTGGGTTCAAGTGATCCATCTGCTCCAGCCTCCTGAATAGCTAGGACCATGCCTGGCTAATTAAAGAAAAAATAAAATTTTTTTTTTTATTTAAAAAGAATTTTTTTTGGGAGGGGGTAAGGACAGGGTCTCTCTACATTCCCCAGGCTGGTTTTGAACTGACCTCAAGCGATTCTCCCACTTCAGCCTCCCAAAGTGTTGGGATTACAGGCATGAGCCACTGTGCTTGGCCTTTTATTTCTTTCTCTTTTATTTTTTGTTTTCTTGATTATTTTGTTTGTGTTTCTTATTAAATTTTAGGGTGGGATGTAGGGTTGGTGTATTTGGTTCACTTTTGCTTCTATAGGATTTTTCATTTACCCTCTTCCTTTCCTGTACCATCCAGTGTCGAAAGAGTGATTTAAAATAAATGAATAAAAACTGAGTTTAAACATTATTATTGTTTTTTTAAATCTTCAATCAAGCTACTCTGATCTCAGGTGATGCTTACTGGTATTTTAGAGATAGACTAGTTTTTGTGTGACTATTTATATGACAGATAATAATGCCAATATATCACACGTTTTTGTTTTTAATGGTTTTTATTGGTTCTAGATCTTATGTTTTCCTTTTTATACTGAAAAGGATCTTCTGATGTTTTATGTGCATATTTATAACAATCATCAATTCCTCAGAGGCCTCTCTTAGCCATAGAGGAGGTAGAAGAGAAAGAAATTACTACTTTTAGTGGCAGCCACACTGATCATATTTCTTGTTTTGCAACAGGAACCAAAGGAGGAAAATGGATTGCAGAAAATGAAGACAAAACAGTCAAATAGAGCAAAGTGTTTGGCCAAAAGAAAAATTGCACGTATGTTTTCATTTTTGTTGAGAATGGTTTGGAAATTGTAATAGTCATAGAACTGATACATTTTGGACTAGTTGATTATCTTGCATTCTTAGCTCTCTGTTAGACTCAAGAAAAGTTGTGAATTTATCAGTTTTTGTTGCTATTGTTGTAAGGATTGGAAGAATAACTTTTTTCAGTTTCCTGTATCTTAAGTGGAATCCAGAAGTGGTCATTCTGAATCTTTAAAAATTTTTTTTTAAATTTATTATTTTTTTAGAGATAGAATCTCACTCTGTCACCCAGGCTTGAGTGTAGAGGTATGGTATGATCATAGTTCACTGCAGCCTTGAACTCATTGGCTCAAGTGATTCTCCTGTCTCAGCTTCCCAAGTATGCCCCACAACGCCTGGCTAATTTTAATTTTTTTTTTTTTACACAGGGTCCTGCTGTGTTGTCCAGGCTCATCTCAAACTCCTGGCCTCAGGCAGTCCTCCAGTTTGGGCCTCCCAGTGTTGGGATTACAGGTGCCAGCCACCAGTTAGCCCCCCATTCTGAATCTTACTGAGCAGCAAAATCTGTTTTTATGATCTCTTTTTTTTTTTGAGATGGAGTTGTGCTCTGTCACCCAGGCTGAGTGCACTGGTGTGATCTTGGCTCACTGCAACCTCTGCCCCCCGGGTTCATACGATTCTCCCACCTCAGCCTCCTGAGTAGCTGGGCCTATAGACACACGTCACTACACCCTGCTAATGTTTGCCAGGCTAATCTCTAGCTCCTGACCTCAAGCGATCCACCCGCCTCAGCCTCCCAAAGTGCTGGGATTATAGGCATGAGCCACCACGCCTGGCCAAAACAGAAGTTTTAAACTTTGATGTGGTCCATTTTTTTCTCTTTTATGGTTTTTTTCTTTCTGTGTCCTAAGAAATCTTTGACTACACTAAGGTTATGAAGATTTCCACCTATTTTCTTCTGGAAATTTTGTAGTTTTAGCTTTAGCATTTAGATTTCTAATCCATTTTGAGTTTTTGTATATGGTGCAAGGTAAGAGTTAAGGTTCATTTTTTTTTCCATATGGGTATCCAATCATTCTCGTACCATTTGTTGAAAAGACTGTCCTTTCCTTGTGTTGAAAATCAATGCATGGGTCTATTTCTGAATTTTCTGTTCTTTTCCATTTATTTATGTTTGTCATTATGCCATACCACACTGTCTTGATTACTGTAGCTTTATAATATCTTAAAATCAGGTAGTATAATTCTTCCAACTTTATTTTAAAAATTGTTTTAATCTGGGTCCTTTGCATTCCTGTATAAATTTAATTTTATTATTTATTTATTATTATTATTTTTTGAGACAGGGTCCCACTCTGTCACCCAGGCTGGAATATGGTGGTATGGGTGCAGCACACTGTAGTCTCAACCTCCTAGGCTCAGGTGGTCCTCCAGCCTTAGCCTCCTGAGTAGCTGGGACTAACAGGCATGCATCACCATACCCAGCTAACTTTTTTTTTTTCTTTCTTTTTGAGAAAGGGTCTCCCTCTGTTGCCCAGGTTGGAATGCAGTGGCTCACTACAACCTCTGCCTCCTGGGCTCAAGCGATCCTCCCACCTCAGCCTCCCAAGTAGCTAGGACCACAGGTGTATACCACCACACCCAGCTAGTTTTTTATTATTTGTTGAGACAAGATCTCACTATGTTGCCCAGGCTGGTCTCGAACTGCTGGGCTCAAGTGATTCTCCCACCTCTGCCTCCTGAGTAGCTGGGACTATAGGTGTGCATCACCACACCCAACTATTTTTTAAACTTTGTTTTCTTCTTTTCAATTCTTTCTTTCTTTCTTTTTCTTTTTTTTTTTTTGAGACAGGGTCTCACTTTGTCACCTATGCTGGAATGCATTGGTGTAATCTTGGCTCACTGCAGCCTCGACCACCTGGACTTGAGCAATTATAGGCGTGAACCACTGCACTGGCCCTATTTTTCATTGTTATTCTCCTGAGGCGCCTTTTTAGACTATTTTTCCCTCTAACCATTGCCATCCCCATGATATTTTAATACCACAGATATGCTATGTGTTCTGTTTATGTACTGATTGTATGTCTGTATTTTATACATAAGATTTTGTTTTTTGACCTCCAAGAACCAATTTTGTCCACTTGGGAATGGTATCACTCTTGTTGAGAATGCGTGATAGAAGTTGCCAGACTTGGCCTTGCGCAGTGGCTCATGCCTGTGATCCCAGCACTTTGGGAGGCCGAGACGGGCGGATCACCTGAGGTCAGGAGTTTGAGACCAGGCTGGCCAACATGGTGAAACCTCGTCTCTACTAAAAATACAAAAATTAGCCAGGCCTAGTGGCGGGCACCTATAATCCCAGCTACTCAGGAGGCTGAGGCAGGAGAATCACTTGTACCTGGGAGGCGGAGGTTGCAGTGAGCCGAGATCACGCCACTGCACTCCAGCCTGGGCGACAGAGAGAGACGCCCCGGCTGATTTTTTTGTATTTTTTTAGTTGAGATGAGGTTTCACTGTGTTAGCCAGGATGGTCTTGATCTCATGACCTCGTGATCCGCCCGCCTTGGCCTCCCAAAGTGCTGGCATGAGCCACTGCGCCCGGCCAGAATTAATTTTTTGTTTAATTTTTTTCTGTGTTGTATGCCCATCTTTCATTTTATTGATTTCTTTCTGTTCTTTATGTTTTTTTCTTTCTCCTTACTTGGGTTAATTTTACTCTTTATATTCTAGCATTTTAAGGTGGGAAACTCAGATTACTGATTTTAAAATTTTGCCTTATATGAGCATGGAAAACTATAAATTTCCCTATAAATGTGGCTTTTGTTGCATCCTACAGATTCTGATATGTTTTCATTTTCATTAAGGTCATTTCAAATTCAGTTGGGTGCATTTTTTATGTTTAGATTCAATTTTAGTGATCCCCTGTACTTGTTGATTTCGTATTACTAAAACATGTTTAAGATTTGTGTGATTCCATAAGTCAAAGTTATACAAAAAAATATAGTCAAAGAAGTGTCATTTCCTCTCTTGTGCCCTTCACTCTGTTCTCAACCACTGATAGGTAATCGTTTGCATTAGTTTCTGGTCTTTCTTTCTTTCTTTCTTTCTTTTTTTTTTTTGTGAGACCAGAGAGTCTCTGTGTCACTCAGGCTAGAGTGCAGTAGTGTGATCTTGGCTTGCCTCCTGGGTTCAAGGGATTCTCCTGTCTCAGTCTCCAGAGTAGCTGGGACTATAAGCGCACACCACCATGCCCGGCTAATTTTTGTATTTTTAGCAGAGACAGGCTTTCGCCATGTTGTCCAGGCTGGTGTCGAACTCCTGACCTCCGGTGATCTGCGTGCTGCAGTCTCCCAAAGTGCTGGGATTACAGGCGTGAGCCACCATGCGCAGCCTATTTCTGGTTTATCTTTCTTTTGTGACACTGTACAAATAAATAGGTGTGTGTGCGTTTTCTTATTTCTCCTTCCTTATGTGAAAGGTAGCATATTATCCATAAATTCTTTTGTACTTTATTTTTACTTAATAACATATCCTTGAAATCACTTTATTCCCAGTCCATAGATATATTCCTTGTTCTTTTTTATAACTGTATGTATGTGTACTACAGTTTATGGTTATTAAATAGATTCTAGTGTTTGGCGAATTTGAACATTGCTGCAATGATATACTCCTTTTAATTAGAAGTGTATCTTTAGGGTAAGTTGCTAGAAGTGAGATTGCTAGGTCAAAGGGTAACTTTATGTAGGTTGTTAGACATTACCAAATCCCCCTCCATAAACAACATCCAAAATGGTGATATTCTAATTCTGTCATTTCTTTTACGTTTTTTTAACTGTAATAATTCTATAAAGAGGAGCTTTTAATCTGCTTGGTTACCCAGTAGTATAGCTTGTGTAGACAAAGTAGGGTAAAAGCAATTCTATTATTTTATTTATCAGTTTTCGTTTTTTTTTTTTTTGAGACAGAGTCTCGCTTTATCGCCCAGCCTGGAGTGCAGGGGCATGATCTCGGCTCACTGCAAGCTCCGCCTCCTGGGTTCAAGCCATTCGCCTCCCTCAGCCTCCCGAGTAGCTGGGACTACAGGTGCCTGCCACCACGCCCGGCTAATTTTTTGTGTTTTTAGTAGAGACGGGGTTTCACCATGTTAGCCAGGATGATCTTGGTCTCGTGACCTCGTGATCCACCCACCTCGGCCGCCCAAAGTGCTGGGATTGCAGGCATGAGCCACCACGCCTTATCAGTTTTCATATAGTTGATTCACTAACAGTCTTCAACAGTGACTGGTTAGTCAATGTCTTTTTAAAAAAATATTAGTATGAACTTACAGGGTTTTGTTTTTTGTTTTTTGTTTTTTTTTGAGATGGAGTCTTGCTTTTGTCACCTAGGGTGGAGTGCACGATTTTGGCTCACTGCAACCTCCGCCTCCCGGGTTCAAGTGATTCGCCTTCCTTAGCCTCCCAAGTAGCTGGGATTATAGGCACCCACCACCACGCCTGGCTAATTTTTGTATTTTTAGTAGAGATGGGGTTTCACCATGTTGTCCATGATGATCTCGAACTCGCGACCTCACATGATCCTCCTACCTTGGCCTCCCACCATCCTGGGATTATAGGCATGAGCCACCACACCTGGCCTGAACTTACAGATGTAATATAGATGTAACTACAGATGTAAATATATTTGATGTAGTTTAATGCATTGCATTCATTATCTTTATTGATGCTCCAGTTTCATTTTTGGCCAGTGAGGAGTCTGTTTAATTGGCTTCTAAGTTCTTTTGATATGACTCTAGTAGTGTCTAATAGATTCCTTGCTTACATCTGTGACAAATATTCTAGCTCATCTTGTTCATTTCATGCTTTGGACTTGGGGCCACCCATTTCTTCAGCGTACCCCAGTTCCTTTTAAATGGAAAATGGTGTCTGGAGACCACATTCTTGTCACTAGGGATGTTCTTTTCTACTGGGTAAATCGGAGGATTCTGAGTACTAAAATTATTCTGGCTAAATGTTGAGCATAAAGCATTGTGGTATTTAGTAAAAAGCTCTAGAGTGGGCATTAATTCCTCTGTTTATTCATTGAGCAAGTATTTATTACGTATCCTATGCCCAGCACTTTTTTATGTGCTGGAGGTATAACAGTGAACAGTGTAGGTGAAAACTCTGCCTTCATGGGAGCTTACAGCCTAGTTAACCCAGGATTCTTGTTGTAACTGCTGCTAATTATCTTGACCAACACCTTACCTTTTGGGGTTTTCCTTCGTCTTCAGTTGAAAAGTTTAATAATTCTCTTTCTTGCCTCCATGCTTATTCAGTGTTTGTGGTGTCCCTCCCTCTCTTTTCCCTACCCTCTTACAGAGATGACAGAAGAAGAACAGTTTGCTCTGGCTCTCAAAATGAGTGAGCAGGAAGCTAGGGAAGTGAACAGCCAGGAGGAGGAAGAAGAGGAGCTCTTGAGGAAAGCCATTGCTGAAAGCCTGAATGTAAATATGCCATGTTGCAAAAGTTTGTGGAGATTGATCAGCAATATTTTAGACTTCTGTGGTGTCGTAGTTGCATTAGGAACTAGCTGTAGTCATTTGTAGGGTTTTCATCTAATAGAAATTCCCATAGTAATTTTTTAAAGTCTGTGTTGAATTGTTGGTTAACCCAATTTTAAGTGTTTTGTTAATTCTATATGAAAGAGTTTTCCTTCCACCCCATGGATTTTTCAGTTCATGGTTGAAAAGAATTATCATAAGTTGACAGCTTCTGAAAAGACTTACTGAATACCAAGAACCCAAAAAGCAGCAAGATAAGATGCTAACTTCTCCTGTTTTGTGGGAGAGCAAAGAGAATGAGAACTAGAGGTGGGTTATGAGAAGAAAGAATGGGCAGTTTTTAAAAAATAATCAAATAAAAAATTGTCATTTGAATATGCACAACCGAATTTTTTTTTTTTTTTTTGAAGTGGAGTCTCACTGTCTTGCCCAGGCTGGAGTGCAGTCTCAGCTCACTGCAACCTCCGCCTCCTGGGTTCAAGCAATTTTCCTGCCTCAGCCTCCCAAGTAGCTGGGATTATAGGCGACCACCACCACACCCAGCTAATTTTTTGTATTCTCAATAGAAACGGGGTTTCACCATGTTGGCAAGTCTGGTCTGGAACTCCTGACCTCAGGTGATCCGCCTGCCTCGGCCTCCCAAAGTGCTGGGATTACAAGCATTAGCCACCTCGCCCAGCCTGAAATGATTTTAAATGTGAAGGATACTTGCCAGTGGTAGGTCCTGAACCATCTTTTATGCTATTTGCCTCCCTATTTTAAAAAAGGGTTTAGTATAGCAATCTAGTACAACAGTTTGCACATAGACATTCAGTATATGTTGTGAAATTAAATTGAGCCATCTACATTTTGGAGAAGAGAAATTCTTATGAACAGTGGCCTCCCATTTTGTCCTTCCTGTGACCCTTCATATATAGTTATTTTAATAATAAACCTGGTCTGGTATGGGATCACTTGTTTCAGAGTTGCCGGCCTTCTGATGCTTCTGCTACCAGATCTCGACCTCTGGCCACTGGACCATCTTCCCAGTCCCACCAAGAGAAAACCACAGACTCTGGGATCACTGAAGGCATGTCTCCCTGTTCTGACTCCTTCCATTCATCAAGTATAACTGTACCACAGGAAGCTCATGCTGAGTGTAGATATACAGAAGTACCCCAGATCCTTTTGGTGATAATAAATAAGTTAAATCAGGAAGTAGTTGAGATCATAAGAATATCCAGCATACTTTTATTTCCAAGGAAAAAGCTAACATTTGGTTAAACCCAAAGAAGAGCCTTTCTTACCCATATTATGTAATTCTTGGTAAGTGATAGCTTACCAAGCCCTCTTAATAAAAAAGTTTGTCCTTAGCCCTACTTTTTCTCAAATACCTACAGGCATATGGCAGCTGGTACCTCCATCACTGTTTAAAGGCTCACATATCAGTCAGGGAAACGAGGCTGAGGAAAGAGAGGAGCCTTGGGACCACACTGAAAAAACTGAAGAGGAGCCGGTCTCTGGCAGCTCAGGAAGCTGGGACCAGTCGAGCCAGCCAGTGTTTGAGAATGTGAACGTTAAATCTTTTGACAGATGTACTGGCCACTTGGCTGAGCACACACAGTGTGGGAAGCCACAGGAAAGTACTGGGAGGGGTTCTTTTCTCAGAGCTGCCCAGGGTAGCGGGGACACATCTAGGCACTGTCTGCCTACCCTAGCAGATGCCAAAGGTCTCCAGGACATTGGGGGCACTGTGAACTACTTCTGGGGTATTCCATTCTGCCCTGATGGAGTAGACCCTAACCAGTATACCAAGGTCATTCTCTGCCAGTTGGAGGTTTATCAAAAGAGTCTGAAAATGGCTCAGAGGCAGCTCTTAAAAAAAAAAGATTTTGGGGAACCAGTGTTACCTAGACCTCCTTCTCTGATCCAGAATGAATGTGGCCAAGGAGAGCAGGCTAGTGAAAAAAATGAATGCATCTCGGAAGATATGGGAGATGAAGACAAAGAGGAGAGGCAGGAGTCTAGGGCATCTGACTGGCACTCAAAAACCAAGGATTTCCAGGAAAGCTCAATTAAAAGCTTGAAAGAGAAACTTTTGTTGGAGGAAGAACCAACAACCAGTCATGGTCAGGTAAGGGTCAGTGATGCTGTAATTAAGGATGATTTATTCGCAGATTAAAACAAGGATTATTTTAGCTATCTGTTATTTTTGTGGTCTTCCCCTCCTTGATTATTAAAGTAATACATGTTCACTGTAGAAAATTAGGAAAGTACAGGACAATATAAAGAAGACAAAAACTACCATTTCTTTTTTTTTTGAGTTGGAGTCTTGCTCTGTTGCCTAGGCGCGATCTTCGGCTCTCTGCAACCTCCACCTCCCAGGTTCAAGCAATTGTCCTGCCTCAGCCTCCTGAGTAGCTAGGATTACAGGCGCCTGCCATTATGCCCGGCTTATTTTTGTATTTTTAGTAGAGATGGAGTTTTACCATGTTGGCTAGGCTGGTCTTGAACTCCTGACCTTGTGATCTGCACGCTTCAGCCTCCCAAAATGTTGGGATTACAGGCATGAGCCGCCACACCTGGCCAATCATCATTATTTCTATGCATACAAAAATACATTAACAATTTTTTTGAACAAAATGAAGACTCTTCTGTATAAGTTTTGTTCCTCCCCCTACTTTATAGTTTATCTTAGATCAGTTCTTAATATATGACATATTCTACCATAGATACACCATAATTTATTTTTTGTTTAAATTTTTTTTTTTGAAGACAAGGTCTCGCTCTGTCACCCAGGCTAGAGTGCACCAGTGCCATCTTGGGTCCTTGCAGCCTCTACCTCTGGGCTCAAGCGATCCCTCAACCTCAGCCCCTTGCAGTAGTTGGGACCACAGGTGCACACTGCCAGGCTGAGCTAATTTTTATATTTTTTGTAGAGATGGGGTTTCACCTTGTTGCCCAGGCTGTTCTCGAACTCCTGTACTCAAGCCATCCACCCACCTCGGTCTCCTAAAGTGCTGGCAGTATAGGCATGAGCCAACACGCCTGGTGTAAAAATTTTTTTTTTTTTTTTGAGATGGATGCATTTTATTGACCTTTTCGTAGAATTGATTTTTTTTTTTTTTTTTTTTTTTGAGACAGTGTCTCACTCTGTTGCCCAGGCTGGAGTGCAGTGGCGTGATCTCTGTTCACTGTAAGCTCTGCCTCCCAGGTTCACGCCATTCTCCTGCCTCAGCCTGCCGAGTAGCTGAGACTACAGGCGCCCGCCACCACGCCCGGCTAATTTTTTGTAGTTTTAGTAGAGATGGGGTTTCACCGTGTTAGCCAGGATGGTCTTGATCTCCTGACCTCGTGATCCGCCCGCCTTGGCCTCCCAAAGTGTTGGGATTACAGGTGTGAGTCACCGCGCCCAGTGTAAAAATTTTTATTATTTCTAAAAAGTTAAATTTTTGAATAGGTAACAATATTCACATGGCTCAAAATTCAAAAATATGTAAGTAAAAAGTCTTAACTTTTCTCGCTATCACCCAGCCAACCAGTTCCCCTCTCTAGACTCAATTTGTGTTACTAGTTCTAGCATATCCTTCCAAGATACTTTATCTGGTACAAGCAGAATACATATTCTTTTCCCTACCTTCTTTTACACAAATGATTTACACATTATTTTCTACTTTTTTCACTTAATATCCTAATGAGATCATTACATAACAGTATATAAATAATTTCTTCATCTTTTTTTTTTGGATGTGAAAAATACCATATATGGATTTGTCAGAGTTTACTATTACAAATAGTAAAATGTCCAGAAGACATTTCATCCACATGGAAGATATTTGTCTTATATGATAATTTTCTGTAACTGTAATTGGTGGACCAAAAAATGTATTTGTAATTTCATTAGCTGTTGCCAAATTGCCCTCCATAGAGATCATGTACATTTACCTTCCCACTGGCAGTGTGTGAATACTAGTTTCTGCATACCCACAGTAATGCAGTATTGTCAGACTTCTTGATCTTTGCCAGTCTTGAGAGATGAAAAATGGCGTCTCAGTGTAGTCTTAATTTGCATATCTCTTACTATCTGTGAGCCTGAACTTTTTTCTCACATGTCTAAGACCCATTTGTATTTACTTTTCTGTCTGTTAGATCTTAATGATCATTTTTCTTTTTTGATAATCTGTTGATTTGTGGATACTTTTTATATCGTAGAGAAAGTAGTCCTTTGTGATATGAAGTAAGGGTAGTTTCCCAGTTATTTTTTCCCACTACATAATGGTGTATATTTCTTATTTTGCTTGTAGTGGTTTTGAATAATTTATTGAAACCAATCTTCTTTTTGGTATGTTTAGTTTGCTTTTTCTGACGTAGCTTGATTATATTGTATATGAAAGCTTATATCTTATTTTTCCCTTTGAATATTATAAAAGCAATAATATAAACTCTTTATATATAAATTGTAATTTTAAAGAGTATTCTGTATTATGACTATACTGTTTTTTCTTGCTATTTCTGTTACCAGACTTTGACTTTTGGTTTTGTTTTATTATTGTATTATTCTGTCTGTCTTGTGTTATGATAAAGGTTCAAGAAATGGTAACTTTGAGGAGCTTCATAGAATAGAGAACATGGATTTGGAGTTGTTCTGATTTTTGTGTTTAAGTAATTTGTGTGTTTTTGAGCAAGTCACTTAACCTGTTTGAATCCCAGTTTTACATCTATAAAATGGGAATAACAATTCCTATCTTTCGACTGTTACTTTAATGATTGAAGTGAATTTATGTAAAATGTCTACTACAATGCTTAGGAGTTTATAGGCACTAAACCACTGGTAATTCTCTCTAAGGGATCGAAGGTCATTCACTGGGGGATGCCTCTAGGAATCATTATTTCCTAGTAACCATCTTCATTCACATTCTGGAAAGATTGTTGTCTGGGAAGAGAAGGCATTTTTATTTAATTTTTTTTTTTTCCGAAGGTATATCAGCAAAGAAGCCATTTTTAAGAAATAGTTCTTTTAGTGACTGGCTTCTTTTCCAAAGCAAAGTTACATGATGCTTATGATAAATGTTCAGTTTGTTCTTTCCAATTCAGAGATACTGTTTCTTAAAATAATACATTAACTCCAAAGAGTGACACTTAATGATTTATTGTAATTCAAGTTGTTAGCTTGAAAGATCCCAGGGGCCAGAGCTCTGGATAGACTTGTGTCAAGTTTGAAAGGAGTGCCTTTGCAGTAGCCTGGAAGTAGTCAAAATCTAGTGGATGGTCTGAATTAGATTGAAGTTCTTTGACTCTTAACTTCATGACCAGGCCACCAAATACTACAGGTAGTATTATTAGTTGGTACTATTTGCTACAGTAAACTGAACTAAACTAGCTTAATTAAAAAGAGGACTGGGCTAGGCATAATGGCTAATGCCTGTAATCCCAGCACTTTGGGAAGCTGAGGCAGGAGAATTCATTTGAGCTTGGGAGTTTGAGACCAACCTAGGCAACATAGTGGGACCTCATCTCTACTAAAATACATAAATTAAGGAAACGGGGTATCTCAGAAGTTTTGTTGTTTTTTTTTTTTTTTGAGATGGAGTCTCGCTCTGTCGCCCAGGCTGGAGTGCAATGGTGCAGTCTTGGCTCACTGCATACTTTGCCTCCCGGGTTCATGCCATTCTTCTGCCTCAGCCTCCTGAGTAGCTGGGACTACAAGTGCCTGCCACCACACCCGGCCAATTTTTTTGTATTTTTGGTAGAGACGGGGTTTCACCATGTTAGCCAGGATGATCTCGATCTCCTGACCTCGTGATCCGCCCACCTCGGCCTCCCAAAGTGCTGGGATTACAGGCGTGAGCCACTGCGTCTGGCTTCAGAAGTTTTAAAATAGAACTATAACCAGGTGCAAAGAAGGTACCGGGCATCTGTGAGTTTTCTATATCTCATGGTTATATTGTGTCTGCTTCATTTTTCTCCCTGCAGACTTAGCATTCTTTGCTTTTGTTTTTCAGGTGCAGGTTGAAGACACTGATCTTATAGCTCTCAAAACTTATTACAGGTTACAGGAGACTTAATCTCTCCCAATTCCAATTTTAAATTTTCAGGAAAGGATTTATGGCCCATTTTGTGTCAGTAGCCTAGTCAGCTGTGGCCTGAAGGAAGTTTTGTCAAATTGGCTGTGAGCCCACTGCTAGTGGGATGGGAGGGGTGAGGGACAGTCCTCAGTGAAAGGGGACAAGGCAGACAACCTAGTAAATGTATGGACATTAACTTTAATTTTAGAAATCACTTAGAGATGTTAAAAAATGCTGAAAAGTGCCGGGCGCGGTGGCTCAAACCTGTAATCCCAGCACTTTGGGAGGCCGAGACGGGCGGATCACGAGGTCAGGAGATCGAGACCATCCTGGCTAACTCGGTGAAACCCCGTCTCTACCAAAAAATACAAAAAACTAGCCGGGCGAGGTGGCGGGCGCCTGTAGTCCCAGCTACTCGGGAGGCTGAGGCAGGAGAATGGCGTAAACCCGGGAGGCGGAGCTTGCAGTGAGCTGAGATCCGGCCACTGCACTCCACCCTGGGCGACAAAGCAAGACTCCGTCTCAAAAAAAAAAAAAAAAAAAAAAAAAAAAAAGCTGAAAAGTTTAAAGAGTATTACCTATTTTTTGTATGGTTCAGATCATATTATTTAACATTATGTAAACATTTTCTCCTGTTAAATTATATATTTTACTTTTAGTGGCTATATTATATTTCAGTTTATGAATTTACCATAATATTTTAAACATTTTTCTATTGCTGGATATTTCAGTTGTGATATCTTTCTACATGAAACTTTTATTTATTCCTGATCAGTGTACTTAGGCATAAGAGTCATAAAAATGATGGGTTAAAGAGTTACAAACATAAAGACTTGATATTTATTGCCAAATTGCTTGTCAGAAAGGCTATTAAAATTTGTATTCTCTCCATTTGGCAATGTATGAGAATATCTAGTTCACTGCAACCTTGCCAACAAGTAATTGTACATTTAAAAAACAACTTACTAATTTTATAGGCAAATAATGAAAGTCTTATGATTGTAATTTTACCTCTCGATCTTTTGCTTTCAGGAAATGTGGGTAGAAAGAATTCATTTGTTAAACATTCTCTGTTGAACACAGCTTTGCTGGAGCTGCCTGTATTTGAGACTTGTTGGTTGATAGAGATAGCAGGAGAGTCTCAAAAATAGGGACTCAGAAAAACATTCACTTTGAGGCACATGACTTAGTCTATATTAAGGTTAATAAAGCTTTAGAATCAAGATGATAACTGGTTTTTGACATCACTGAGACAAGATAAAGTTGCTAATGAAGGCCTATAGATCACCCTGAGAGCATTATGGCAAGGAGTTGGAAGGGGTAGTATGTTAATGTGATTACTACTTTTCAGAATCTGATTCTTAATTTTTCAGTCAGGATAGTGGAATTTTTTTAATCAGAAATGACCAGGTTGTGTGGGGTTGTAAAAACTGACTTTGATTTGCCAAACTTCACGCTGATGTATGTATACAAAATGACAATTTATTAATTTATTATGGAATAGAGACATTTTCAGTGACCAGAATACTCAGATCTGTATCTACTGTCTTCTAGAATGACAGTATCTGGAGGGTTGAAATAATCAGAAAATGGAATTTTTAAGGGATGGCTCAACTAGTCTGTGGAAAAACCTAATAAACTACCACTGTCACACAATAGAGGACATTTATGTGATGACCAGATGATGTATCTATTCATTTTCACTTTTTTTTTTTTTAAAAGATGGAGTTTCACTCTGTCACCCAGGCTGGAGTGCAGTGACATGATCTCGGCTCTCTGCAACCTCCACCTCCTGGGTTCAAGCGATTTCCTGCCTCAGCCTCCTGAGTAGCTGGGATCACAGGCATGTACCACCACGCCTGGCTATTTTTTGTATTTTTTGAAGAGAAGGGGTTTCACCATGTTGACCAGTCTGGTCTTGAGCTCCTGGCCTCTAGTCATCCGCCCACCTCGGCCTCCCAAAGTTCTCAGGTTACAGATATGATCCACTCTGCCCAGCCCCAATTTCACTTTTAAGTATTAAAAATACCCTTTGATAATAATTCTTTGAATTTTTTTTTTTTTAAAGATTCAATGCAAACCATCCCTTCCTTATTAACATATTTCTTCAGGAAGAAGATGTCTTGATTAGGCCACAGATTCCTTAAATTTTTATTTCTGCCATGCTTTCCTGTTCACCTTGATTACATTTGGGTAGTCTAAATTTTATTTGCTTATTTTGCTATCCTATGTTCATATTCTGGAAGAACCTCACTTTATGTTCATATTACTGCCATTGAGGTATAAATTTCTAAATTAAAATAATGTTTTGAAATGAAGACATTCTTGGGATTCTACATTGAAATAATTAGGAAGAGGATCATCTGAGTAAGCAATATAATAGTAGTTTTGAGTGCATGGGTTTTAGAGTCAGGCAAGTCTCAGCTCTACGATTTTGACCAACTATATGATTTGGGGCAAATTGTTTAACTTCTCGAAGTTTCACTTATTTTTAAAATAATTTAATGGTTTTTACTTCTTAAGTGGCTTGTGAAAATTAAAGGAGATAAGGAATGTAAAGTGATTAGCACAGGCCTGGCACTGAATAGAAGCACAATAATTTTGTTTGTTTGAGACAGAGTTTTGCTCGTCACCCAGGCTGGAGTACAGTGGCGCGATCTCGGCTCACTGCAACCTCTACCTTCTGGGTTCAAGTGATTCTCCTGTCTCAGCCTCCCGAGTAGCTGGAATTAGAGGCGTGAGCCACCATGCCCGGCTAATTTTGTATTTGTAGTAGAGACGGGCTTTCTCCATGTTGGTCAGGCTGGTCTTGAACTCCTGACCTCAGGTGATCCGCCTGCCTTGGCCTCCCAAAGTGCTGGGATTACAGGCGTGAGCCACTGCACCTGGCCAAAGCACAATAATTTTTTAAAACGATTACACTGAGAAGATTTGAGATATGCTTTAGCCTAAGGCAGAGATGGAGGTGCCTTATAACTAACTTACTGGTGTCTTGATTGTATCTGAAGACCAAGGCTAGTCATTATAAAATTCTATTAAATGGACACTAGGTGTCAGCATTTCCTTCCTTCCTTCCTTCCTTCCTTCCTTCCTTCCTTCCTTCCTTCCTTCCTTCCTTCCTCCCTCCCTCCCTCCCTCCCTCCCTCCCTCCCTCCCTTCCTCCCTTCCCTTCCCTTCCCTTCCTTCCCTTCCTTTCCTTCCTTCTCTTCTTTCCTTCCTTTCTTTCTTTCTTTCTTTCTTTCTTTCTTTCTTTCTTTCTTTCTTTCTTTCTTTCAGTTCAATAAAAACCTTGTCACCCCTCAGTTTTTCAAAGGAAGAGACAGGTTAAGTATTTATTGCTGTTGTATTTTAGTCCTTTGGTAGTTTGGTTAAGTCTTATTTTTCATAATGACTAGATTCCATATTGTACAACTTTCCTTTTGACTGAAAACTCATCTATTCCTGATTTTTAAGTGTATTTCATCATTTACCTGAATGGTAGCGAGATTCATAGATAACCTAACTTGTTTAGGTTATTTATATCTTATTAGGTAACCTTGAAAACTTCAGCTGATAGCTTTATGTCTAGCGGAAGAAGCCTCACAGCCCAGGCACTTCCTCAGAAGTCTGCCTAAGGCAGCAGTAGCTGCTTTTTCGGTGATCTTCTGTGCATGTATGTTTAATGAGTTGGTATTTGCACCAACTCTACCATTAATCAATGAAAATAATTTTTGAATCAATGAGAATAATCTTTCCTTATATAGTCCCTATTCATTACATTTCTGAAAAGATAATCCTGTAGCCAGATATAAAAACCACAGTGGCAGATTTGTAGCAAAAAGAATCTTTATAACATTCCCTTTAGATGTCCTATGTTATGGCTTGGTTTTTCTCAAAGATCATGGATTGCAGTGTTTATCTCAACTGAGTATTTCCTTTGAAAATTGGACTTTTCTCTATATTTTTCTTTCCCCCTGCACAAAATTTTCGATTGTTTTTCTGAAATCATAATTCATTTGACTTACCAATTAATATTGATAGAGGTCTTGCATTTTATGAAGTTCATTGCATGCATTATCTTGTTTAATTTTCACGACACTCTGTGAGACAATTGTTAATACCCATTTTAAGATGAGGAAAGAGATTCAGATGTCACTTACCCAGTCACAAAGTTAGTAAGTGATTTAGTTTTGATTTAAATACCAGTCTTCTGACTTTGCAGGATGTGCCCGTTTTACTGAAATTTACTGGCTTATGGAAAATATTTTCTTCTTATTGTTAATTGTTGAGAGAGAACGTTGAACAATTAATTTTTTTAAAAAAAGGAAGAGAAGCCAGTTCACCTGCGCCTGTATATTTAAGATACTATGTATTTCTTTGCAGTCTTCCCAAGGGGTTGTTGAAGAAACTTCTGAAGAGGGAAACTCTGTACCTGCTTCACAAAGGTGAGAGATTATATGTTGCTATGAATTCTCTCCTCTGATGGTTGCCAGCATAAGGGAGATGAACCACATGAGTGAGACTGTACATGGACAACTTGCCAGAGAACTTGTAGCGCTTCTGTAAGTGAAGACTAGGAGAAATTTTATTAGTATCTCTAAGTTCTCAGATGTGCATCTCATAGAAGCCCAGAATATTAAGAGCTGGAAGAGATCCTAGAGGTCATCTTGTCCAGGCCAGCTATCTTGGCATAAATCTTATTTTCATTATTCCTGAAAAATGGTCACATCTTGCTATTCTTTTAACTAATTACACTAGTTTTCTATGCTAATTTGAAGGCTCTAGACTGATTTCTTTATAGTCCTTCTATTCTTAGCCCCTTTCTCTCTTTTCCCCAACTCTGCTTATGCTTATTTTGTCTGTATATCTAAACCTTATATGTCTTTTAAATTTACTCTTGAGACTTACATCCTCTTTGAAGTCTTCGTATTATTCAGGCCACACAGGACCTGCATCACTCTCACTGTCTGTTCTGTGCCACTTTTAATCTGTTTGTGCCTCCTATCTCCTGTAAAGGATTGTATTTGCATTACCTCCTCCGTTGTTCTTGCTGATTGATTGAGGGCTTACCTTCTAAGTCTTCTTACTTTAATAATAAATAACAATTGATTAATTATAAACTGCACTATTAACTGGATCATGCTTCCAGTTACTTTCTGCTTGCCCTTTTTATCTGGTAGTTGAGTTTGAAACTTTCTCAAGAGTTTAACTTTGAACTGCATGACTGTGTTCTCCCATATGAGAGTTGAAGCCCAGTTGCCATTTGCTGTAGTCAAGGTGGTGGTCTTTCTTAGGCTTCTGGTTGATAGTACTTGGTATTCCTTCCTGGGCTAAAGAATATGGCTTTGGTTTGATTTTCCTGCTGTTAAGACAGTTTTGGAAGTGGTTTTAACAGGGTAGGCCTTCTACTCCCTATAGGCCTCTCTGCTTTATTGTGGTGAGCCTTGTGCAGAGCAGATGTAGGTTTTAATAAATGATTATACACTTTGTCACCAGGAGAGAGTTGGAATCGCAGGCAATGTGGTTTGACTTCAAATTGATTAGCCCATTTTATAAATGTCAGAAAATTGTTTTGTGATGGACCCTTTGAATAGAGCACTAATGTTACATGCAGAGTAAACTATGTCTGGCTTGGGTTTATAACAAATGCTATGAGATGTTTTATTTAGAGAGAAATCACTTGTGGTTTTTTATCAGGAGTTAGTTATTTATCATGAGTTCAGTTGTAGCTATTCTCTTTGTGGTTCTTGGTTGATGTGAGGATTTTTGTTTTTAAGCACTCTTGCATACTTGATCATACTAATGATAAAGCCCTGTGAAGCATGAGGGGGCTAGCTCAGATGCTCAGATCAGCCATGTGTTCCTATGTCAGGCAGAGATTGCACTCCATGAGCAGTCAGGGAAAACCAGAAGGTTGGATGAAGGAAGCCATTTATAATTAAGTTGTTGTTAGAAAAGAGATTCTATTTCTGTGGGCAGATTTTTGCTGTAGGGCAGTTTGGAATTGTATTTTATTTTTGTTGCGTGGAAAGCAACATCTTGAGATAAAGAGGAAATTTAACTGCAAAAGGAGGAGAAAGTGTGTTGTCAGAAGAATCTCTGTGTCTTCTCTTGTGAGTTTACAAATCTCAAGCCTTCAGAAGGCTGAGATGGAGTCTATAAAACACCTTTGACATCCTTACGTTGGAGTGGAGTTTTTGTCTTCTGTGATATTCACAGACAGTTCTTACCCTTCGACCTTCCTTTGTGAAAAACTCCAAAAGGGAATTTGTTTTCATTCAGTGATTTCACTGGAACTGAAGTTTCAGTAAGCGTATTTATTTTCCATATTTCTGGCCTACAGTTTTCAGTACTGATTCCTTGCTTTCCTGTTGTGCTTTTGTGGCATAAGGCAGCAAGTATCTGTGATTACCTGTGGCTTTGTGAGTGACTCACCATTGCTTTTGGCTCTATGTTCTGATTTATTTTACTGGAAATTCATTTGGGATTTGGTTCTCTTTCAGTGTTGCTCCTTTGACCAGTAAGAGAAGCTTAGTCCTTATGCCAGAGAGTTCTGCAGAAGAAATCACTGTTTGTCCTGGTAAGTACTCCACTGTGATTTTACTGAATTTCTGATACCTATCTACCTTCTCATGCCTATTAATTTTCCTCTGACTCTTCAAAACTACTCTCTGGAGGTTTATATGTAATTGATACGTGTATGTACATATCTCCACACTCGTATACATATATACATATAGGTGTTTTTAATAGCCGTTGGCTTTTATTCTCAATTTTTTCTCTCCTTAGGGGTAATTTAGTTTTGAAATTAACATGACTTTTTTGTCTCCTTGATTGTTGACAGGCCTCATCAGAGATGGCATCGAAGCATCAGGAATAGCACTTACTTAACTCTACATTCAGAGCCTTTTGTTACTTAATTTGTTTAAATTATTTTAAATTAAATTGTTCTAAATTATTCTGTCACCCAGCTTGGAGTGTAGTGGTGCAATCATAGTTCACTGCAGCCTTGAACTTTGGGGCTTAAGTAATTCTCCCTCCTTGGCCTCCCAAAGTGCTGGGATTACAGATGTGAGCCACTGTGCCTGGACTTCAGAGCTTTTTAGTAGTTAGTTTTTATATTGCCATTTGTTGGGGTCTTACTGCACAGGAGGTCCAGAAATTGAGTTTTGTGTATGTTCTGTCATTATTTTTAATCTTAGACCTAAGATGCTTAACCTTGTTAAGTGCTTTAGTTTGCTTTTTGTTAATTGTAAAAATTAAAAGATATGTACGTTGTTTTAGGCAGAAGAGATGCTTATTCAGAGTTGTACATGGATAGATTTAGATATACAAAATAATGTAAAATGAACTAAGATACTTACCATCTAAGGGAATTCCTGAATCATTGTATAGTATGAAGCATTATTTTGTGATATGAACTACTACTTTGTAAGGAATTTGTTTTAGACTATATTTTCCGTTCTGGCTTTTCCGAAAAGATCATTAGCCTCATTCCTGTGAGATTGAGGGGCTTCCTACTGATGTTTAACTTCGAACAGCAAGTATACAGATGTTGCGATAAGTCACGTCTGATTTTCCTCAGGTCTCATATAGCCTGTAAGGATTGGAGATAATCATAGTTTTCTTATTTTGGTTTTCTTCAATGTTTATCCACACAGACTCAAACTTAGTTTGTATGTAATCTAGGAAAGACCCATAAATATTTTTAAACATCTGGCAGTCTATCATAAAGGTCTTTATTTTAAGATTGAACTGTGTTGGCTTTTTTTTTCTTTTCTTTTCTTTTCTTTTCTTTTTTGAGACAGAGTCTTGCCCAGGCTGGAGTGCAGTGGCGCAATCATGACTCACCGACTGTAACCTTGAACTCCTTGGCTCAAATGATCCTCTCTCCTCAGCCTCCTGAGTAGCTAGGACTACAGGCATGTGCCGCCAAACCTAACTAATTTTTAAAATTATTAGTATTATTATTTTTTAGTAGAGACGAGGTCTTGTTGTGTTTCTCAGGCTGGTCTTAAACTCCCGAGCTCAAGCAGTCCTCCCGCTTTGGCTTTCTAAAGTGCTGGGGATTATAGGCATGAACCATTGTGCTTAACCTATGTTGGTTTTTATTGAAAGTGACTCCTTAATTCATTTGAAATGTATTTGGATTACTGCCTAACGATACCCACTAAGAGACTACACTACCGAGTGCTCAGATTTTGGCAGGAGCACTCAAGAATGCTGTGCCACCTTTGTGAAAAGAAAGCTTTCCCCCCTCTCTGGGACTACTGACTTCCTAGAAGGAAATCACTCAGTCTGTTTAGGATGATGGCGTGTGACATCACCATGGGATCTTGGAGGAGGAACCTGCAAATATATTGATCTTGAAAGGCCTAGTTAATGAGAGGGAAAGCAGGTCCTTCATACTGAGGTTAGATAGCTTTTATGATCATGACTTGCTGTCATTAGCCTGCTAATTAAGTCCAACTGTTTGCTGACATAAACCACGTCTAAATGAGATTGCAAAAGGTATTCATTACATTAATGTTCCTTTTGCTAAGAAAGTATAACTACTTCACCATGAAGCAAAACTCTTGGGTTTCTTTTTAAATATATAATTTAGAAGTTATATATATAAATTGTCTGAAAAAATTTGTTCCAAATGGGTGAAACACATATTTAGTGTAGTAGTCTGTTACCTGTTCCTATTTACTTTTGTTTCATATTTCTGACAGTTCAGGAGTCTAATATTTAAGATTACATATCTTTTTAGTGTTACTCACTTAGTTGAAGAAGCAAGATTATAGCCTTATGCCCACATTTTGCATACTTCTAGCATTGCTTATTTCTGAGAAGCTAATGCCCTCTTAGTAGGACATTTCAGCCATTCACAGAAAGCATAATTGAAGACTTTTTATTATTGCAGTAATCTAAGCAGTGAATGGTTCTTATTTTTAAATATACTGAATGTCTTTTTGAAAATACCTTTAGGGAAAGTTGACAGAGAGGATTTTGAAGTTTATGTGCTGTAAGCCTTTTTCCAATAAGGTGGGGTGTGTGTGTGTGTGTGTGTGTGTGTGTCCAGTTTTCAAAAAAATTGGTGATGTATTAAAATATAGTTAATTCTGGAAATGTATTTAATCCTTTCTTAAAGATTCGGAAGATACATTAGAAGCTTGCAGATGCTCTATTTGCCTAACACTGGCCATTTACTGTATTTGTGAAGCACAAAAGTGCCAGTTAGAGGTACATCAGGTGTAGTGTCAGATAACAGAGAACTTACTGGATTTGCATTCTGAGATAAATTTCTGATTTTAGTTTGGGTTCCTGTAACAAAATATTCTAGACTGAGTGGGTTATAAGCAGCATAAATTTATTTCTCACAGTTCTGGGGGCTGGAGAGTCCAAGATCAAGGAGTTGGTAGATTCAGTGTCTGGTGAGAGCCGTAGATAGCAGCTTCCTGCTGTGTCCTCACATGGTGGAAAGAGGGTGAGAGCTCTCTGGAGTCCCTTATAAAAGGGCATTAATCCCATTCTTTTGAGGGAAGGCCCTATGCTCATGACCTGATTACCTTCCAGAGGTCCCATTTCCTAATATTATCTATCACATTAGGGGTTGGGATTTCAACATATGAAGTTGGGGAGGTACACAAACATTCAGTCTGTAACTATCTTTTCCAGATACATTGGTGGTTTTGAAAGATAATTACAATTTTTTTTGTTGTTGTTATATTAAGTGATATGTGTCTACAGCAGAAGTTGGCAAACTTTTTTTTTTTTTTTAAGACAGGGTCTCAGTCTGTAACTCAGGCTAGACTGCAGTGTTGTGATCATAGCTCATTACAACCTTGAACTCCTGGCCTCAAGTGATCGTCCCGCCTCATCTTCCCAAAGCATTGGGATTGCAGGCATGAACGACTGTGTTCAGCCAAACTTTTTAAAAATAAAAGACTAGATAGGAAATATTTTAGGCCCTATGGGCCATAGAGTCTGTTGAGACTATTTGGTTCTGGCATTTTAGTGCAAAAACAGCCATAGACAGTATATAGATGAATGAGAATGGCTGTGTTTTAATAAAACCTTACTTACAAAAATAGGCAGCTGACAGGATTTGGCCCAAGAGCTGTATCTAGTTTTCTGGCCCCTGAACTAGACTACAAGGGACCCCATCTTACATTTTCATATTACTGGTAGCTAGTATAAAGCCTGGGACTTGATGTTCAATTAATATTTGTTGAATTAATAGATACTGCTTAAAGAATATATTAAAGAAAGGCTCATCTTTGTCTGGAATGTATATTCTATTTCTGGTCCCAATTTCTGTTTTTGCTTATCATCTCTTTAACCTCAGCACTAACATTGGCAGGTTCTTGTTTTCTGTCAAATCAATATACTTTAAAACTAAAATTACAGTGGAAATAAGCCAATCGATCAATTGATCAACAAATAAACAAATTGTGATATATCTATACAATGGAATGCTACTCAGCAGTAAAAAGTATGAACTATTGATATTATGTGACAACATGGGTCCATCTCAGACACATTATACTAAGTGAAAGAAGCTGGACGCAAAAGACCTGTGATTCTATTTATATGACATTCTAGAAAAGACAAAATTGGCCGGGCGCGGTGGCTCAAGCCTGTAATCCCAGCACTTTGGGAGGCCGAGACGGGCGGATCACGAGGTCAGGAGATCGAGACCATCCTGGCTAACACAGTGAAACCCCGTCTCTACTAAAAACACAAAAAACTAGCCGGGCGAGGTGGCGGGCGCCTGTAGTCCCTGCTACTCGGGAGGCTGAGGCAGGAGAATGGCGTAAACCCGGGAGGCGGAGCTTGCAGTGAGCTGAGATCCGGCCACTGCACTCCAGCCTGGGCAACAGAGCAAGACTCCGTCTCAAAAAAAAAAAAAAAAAAAAAAAAAGAAAAGACAAAATTATAGGAACATAAAGTCAGCTGGTCATTGTAAAGAGTTCATTGCAGTGACCGGAGTGGTAGGAGATTGACTGCAGAGGGGTACAGAGAACTTTTTGGGGTGTTGGAAATGTTTTATATCTTGATTATGGTAGAGGTTACATGGTATAAATGGTAGTATATAAAGGGTATACATTTGTCAAAACACATTAAACTGTATACTGAAAATTTATGAATTATGTTATTTGTAAATTATGCCTCAGTAAAGCTTTAAGAAGAAACAAACTAGATCTATTAATATATTGCCACCACAATATTATCATATCCTAAACTTTAGGGGAAAATAGGCATGTTTGTTTTTTTAACTACGGAAACGCAAAATGAAAATTAATGGGATTTTAACTTTTTTAAATTACAGAGACGCAACTAAGTTCCTCTGAAACTTTTGACCTTGAAAGAGAAGTCTCTCCGGGTAGCAGAGATATCTTGGATGGAGTCAGAATAATAATGACAGATAAGGAGGTGAATATTTTCCTCTCTGTTTTTTCTCAGTGGTTTCTTTCTGTTGGCAGTCCTCTCCCTGATGCAATGTTGACATTGGCTGAAAAGATTTAGATGGCAGGGGTTTTAGTTTTGGGGGCACTTATGTCAGGGAGATTTGTTTTTTTTTTTTAGACGGAGTCTCGCTCTGTTGCCCAGGCTGGAGTGAGTGAAGTGGCGCAATCACTGCTCACTGCAAGCTCTGCCCCCCAGGTTCATGCCATTCTCCTGCCTCAGCCTCCCGAGTAGCTGGGACTACAGGCGCCCACCAGTATGCCCAGCTAATTTTTTTGTATTTATAGTAGAGACTGGGTTTCACAGTGTTCGCCAGGATGGTCTCGATCTCCTGACCTCGTGATCCGCCTGCCTCAGCCTCCCAAAGTGCTGGGATTACAGGCGTGAGCCACCGGGCCCGGCCTGGGAGAGATTTTTATAGTTAAGATTAGTTCAGCATTGTTTCTAAAAATAATAGTAGTTACCATTTCTTGAGTACTTTTGTGTGCATTATTATTTCTATTAGAGATGGGGAAACAGAGGCGTAGGATGTTTAATTTGCTCTAAATCATGCTACTAATAATGATAGCAATAGAATTTGAACACGGGTTTGAGTCCAAAGTTCTAGGGCATTTTTTATTATGTACCAATAAGTAACAGAGACAAACAGTCTTGGAAAAAATTACTGTGTTTATATTATGATGTATACATAACTTTCAGCCTTAATTTGATCAGAAATGCAAAGTTAAGATAGCTGTCTGATCTATTTGCGTCATTACCTTTCCTCACTTTACATATCTGGCAGTAACCATAAAACTGATTGATACAAAAGTTCATACTTCTGATTGAGATTCTCGGTATGTATATTTTTCTTTTTCTTTTCTTTTTATTTTTTCTCTTTTTTGGGATGGAGTTTCGCTCTGTCGCCCAGGCTAGAGAGCAGTGGCACAATCTCGGCTCACTGCAACCTCTGCCTCCCCGGTTCAAGTGGTTCTCCTTCCTGAGCCTCCGAGTAGCTAGTATTATAGGCGCATGATGCCATGCTCAGCTAATTTTTGTATATTTAGTAGAGAGGGTTTTGCCACGTTGGCCAGGCTGGTATTGAACTCCTGACCTCAAGTGGTCTGCCCACCTCAGCCTCCCAAAGTGCTGGGTGGGATTACAGGCATGAGCCACCATGCTTGGTCCTTGGTGTGTATTTTTAATGTTGAGTCTAACAAAACAGTTTAACTACCTGGAATTCCTTTAAAAATTTTAAAATCTTAAAAATCTGTTGCTGTCATGAGCAGCCTGAGAGCCAAATTCCTCAGTAGAAATAAAGATTTTGGTTACATTGGTGTATACTTTCTTATCCGGTGCACCTTAAGAAAGGTTCCTTTTTGGCCGGGCGCAGTGGCTCATGCCTGTAATCCCAGCACTTTGGGAGGCTGAGGCAGGCGGATCACAAGGTCAAGAGACTGAAACCATCCTGGCCAACATGGTGAAACCCTGTCTCTACTGAAAATACAAAAATTAGCTGGGCATGGTGGTACGCACCTGTAGTCTCAGCTACTCGGGAGGCTGAGGCAGGAGAATGGCTTGAACCCAGGAGTTGGAGGTTGCAGTGAGCCGAGATCGTGCCACTGCACTCCAGCCTGGCGACAGAGCAAGACTCCGTCTCAAAAAAAAAAAAAAAAAAAAAGAAAGGTTCCTTTTTATACTCTGGGATATTTTTTTTGTTTGTTTGTTTTTTTCCTCCTTGAGACAAAGTCTTGCTCTTGTCTCCCAGGCTGGAGTGCAGTGGTACGATCTCGGCTCACCGCAATCTCTGCCTCGTGGGTTTAAGTGATTCTCATGCCTCAGCCTCCCGAGTAGCTGGGATTACAGGTGCTCACCACAATGCCCAGCTAATTTTTGTATTTTAGTAGAGATGGGGTTTTACCATGTTGGCCAGGCTGGTCTCAAACTCCTGACCTCAGGTGATCCACCTGCCTACGCCTCCCGAAGTGCTGGGATTACAGGCATGAGCCACCGTGTCCAGCCTGGAATTTTTAAAAAATAATTTTTACAGTAGAAGTTAGATCCTCTCCCTGGTCTCTGCACTGCAGGCAACTGGGTAAAAATTCTGCCTTCATGAATCATGCACACTGCCTGGTTCTCTGGAACCTGATCTGTCACAATTGACAGACCAAGATTCCCTGATGCCAGTGGTGGTAGGAAAGACGATGACACTCCCTGCTGCAGAATGACTGAGGACAGATCCTGCTCCATAATGTCAAAATGGCCTCTGGATGGTTTTCTCAGGAAGAAACAGAATCTTCTAAATGGGAATGAGGGAACAGAGTATTATTACCATAGTCATCCTAACATACAGAAGAAGCCCTTAGTTAAGGCCTATTTCATACCCGTCCATGACTGCAAACCAGACTATTCTTTGTTTGGGTCAAAGAGCATGAACCCTGTTTAGAATTTATGGTGAACATGTCTGTGCTACTACACATCAAATAGATGGAATCATGTAGCCTTTCTCCCATTGAATGTCCTCTTTTTGGTATTGCTGTTTGCTGAAGTCTGTGGATGTCCCTAAATAGTCTTAGAAGTTTTCATTAAAATAAGTTAGAGATACTGCAGATTTTAAATCATGTACTAGTTACAAGTCACTTATTAGACAGAATGGAACACTTTATGTGCACAAAGATACTATAGTATAAAGGGTGTGGACTCTTGCCATTGGGATCTATGTAGGTCATTTGTCCTAAAATTTCTTGTTTACTGGGAGGTAGTATGGTGTAGTACAAGTAGCTTGAGTATTGCAATTAGAAGACATGGCTTTAAATCCCAACTCCACCATGTTTTGAATGTTGTGCAAATTAATCGTTTTATTCATTCACTAGGCAGCTATTTATAGTTTGTATACTTTGTGCCAGTCATTGTTTTAGACTCTTGGGATACAAAGATAAATAAGAAAAACAGTCCCTGCACTGAGGGTTCTGGTAAGGGAGGAGACAGATATATACACAGATAATTATAATTATAATGTGCTCTGACAAAGGTAATGATAGATTCCTAGGGCATTAGGGAAGCACAGACGAGAAATGCCTTCCTGAATTTCAGTTCTTCATATGTAAAATGGAGGCAGAATACCTATTTTATTAGGTTGCTTTGCAGGTGAAATTAGATAAAGAATGTAAAACACGTAGCAGAGATTTGTCACAAGTAGAAGTATCATGTGGAAAGTCATATTATTTTACTGCTTTGTAATATATTACTGTTTATATTAGTTTACTAATGACAGAGAATTGCTCAATAGTATTTGAGGTATTTGGAAATACCCATGGCACAACTGTATGTAGTCCCTCTTGATTTCTGACAATAGTCAGCTTTCTTTGGAAATAGTGTTTTCTGAGTATCTTGCCTGAGAGTTTCCCTTTGTTGGAGTCTTAAATAGTCTCTTCTCAGAAGAGCTAACAGAAGTTATTCAGAGTCCTTCAGAGCTAGTTTAGTCAGTAAATTTTTAAGTAAACTATGTTAAGAGTTGTGTGGTAGGAAGGGGAAGATCCAGAACAAGGAGGTTTCTAAGCTACACATAATTGGGTAGGGGAGGGATGGAGAGTTTGGTGATTTGCAGGACATGCTTTTGTTTTCACTGGGTTCATTTCTTAGAGTGAGGTGTGTGTTTGTTTTTTTTTTTTTTTTGAAGTCTGAAGTTAAGGACCAACAACCTTTAAGATGTCAATATTCAGTATCTAAGTACCTCTTTTAAAAAATAGTTGTGTAATTTTTTTTTTTTTTTTGAGATGGAGCCTTGCTCTGTCGCCCAGGCTGGAGTGCAGTGGCCTGGTCTTGGCTCAGTGCAAGCTCCGCATCCTGGGTTCACGCCGTTCTCCTGCCTCAGCCTCCAGAGTAGCTGGGACTACAGGCGCCCACCACCACACCCGGCTAATTTTTTGTATTTTTAGTAGAGACGGGGTTGCACTGTGTTAGCCAGGATGGTCTCCATCTCCTGACTTTGAGATCCACCTGCCTTGACCTCCCAAAGTGCTGGGATTACAGGTGCGAGCCACCGCGCCTGGCCAAAAAATAGTTCTATAATATTTTAAAAGAAGTAAAAGCAACTCTGCAAAGAAATCCCTGACTGCATGGTCCTAATAAAAGCTACTTTGCTTGCCTTTTTCCCCCTTAAGGTTCTTCCATAGTAGTGAATACTTAAATAGACTTTTTAAATGATGCTGGGAAATATACCTTATTTTAACATTAAAAAGAAAACAACACCCTGCAGGTTAGGAAACCTTCAGGATTGCCTAAGAACAGTGGTTGGAAGTGGTCTCATATTCGTAATAAGACAATAGACTACTCCCTCTTGAATACATTAATAAAGGTACATTCTCTGCATTGTATAGAGCTGTGATGAATGCAAAGGAGTATAGTGCTCAATGTGAGCACCAGTGACACATTTGTGTCATATAACATTTCTGTGCTTAGTGAGCTTTAGAAAGCCAAGTAACTGCTCATTCACCACTGACTTTAAGTAATTCAAGACTACTTGCAAATTTTAGGGTGTATTGATCCCCTCTTACCCCCCTGCCATCCTTCTGCTCAAATAGCTTTGCTATTTTTCTTTTCTTTTCTTTTTTTTTTTTTTTGAGACTGGGTCTTCTTTGTTGCCCAGGATGGAGTCCAGTGGTAGGATCTCAGCTCACTGCAACCTCCACCTCCTGGGTTCAAGCGATTCTCCTGCCTCAGCCACCTGAATAGCTGGGACTACAGACATGCACCACCACCCCTGGCTAATTTTTGTATTTTCATTAGAGACGGGATTTTGCCATGTTAGCCAGGCTGGTCTCGAACTCTTGACCTCAAGCGATCCGTTCGGCTTGGCCTCCCAAAGTGCTGGGATTACAAGCGTGAGCCACCGCTCTTATTTTTTCTTTCTTTTTTTCTTTTTTTTCTTTTTTTTTTTTTGGAGACAGAGTTTTGCTCTGTCACCCAAGCTGCAGTGCAGTGGTGTGATCTCGGCTCACTGCAGCCTCTGCATCCCGGGTTTAAGCGATTCTCCTGCCTCAGCCTCCTGAATAGCTAGGATTACAGGTGTGCGCCACCACGCCCAGCTAATTTTTGTATTTTCAGTAGAGATGGGGTTTCGCTATGTTGGCCAGGGTGGTCTTGAACTCCTGGCCTCATGTGAGCTGCCCACCTTGGCCTCCAAAGTGCTGGGATTACAGGTATGAGCCACCGTGCCTGGCCAGCTTTGCAGTTTTTCAAGTTTTACAACTTTTCTTTTTAAGATTTATGAACAGAGGAACCTGGATTTGTGAGAAGCTTAGTGATTAAATCTGATAAACATAGCACCTAGAACTTCCAGACCCACTTGACTTTCCCCACTTTCTAGAGAAGAAGAATAAATAGATCCTTGCAGAATCCGCTTCCAGAAACAAGGTGGAATGGAAGGGAGGTTTTTTGTTTCTGCCACAACATGATAGAATGGAATTACTGAAGGTTTTGATGCCCAGTGGGTCTAGGTTTGAGCCTGGATAATTCACTTACTAACTTGGTGACCAGCAGGTTACTTTGCTTTCCCAAGCCTTAGTTTCCCCTTCTGTAATAGCAGAGTTAGTGATACTTCTGTCCAGTGGCTTGTTGGGAGGGATAGATATGAAAAATGACTGGTGGAGCCTGCATAGTATAAGAACTCAACCACTGTTAGTTCCTTTCTCATCTTTTAGGTTTTACGCCTTTAGAGTATGTTTTTTAACAAAAGGCAGGTGGTGTTGAAAACAGGAGATTTTCTGGCAGTTTGACTTGGTATTTAGATGGCCTGTTTTCCTCTCTGCTGGTTCACACTTGTAAGCATTAGGTTTTAGAGATAGCCCCAACTCCTGACCCCAAAAGACCCAATTGACTCTAGTCCAGTTTTCTATGCATTGAAGTTTTGGTCGTGTTTTGTTCTTGTATCAGAAGATATTTTATTTGTTTTCCCCGTGTAATAAGGTGTAATGACAGCCCAGGTGTCCCTTGCTTTAAATGTAAGCAGTAGCTATGCAGGACATTTTCACATTGATTGGATAGGACATGCTGTCCTTTGAAGCAAGTGTTAGGCAGTAGTGCTGCAGTGCTCACGCACACTGTTGAATTAATCACTGCAGAGTTCTTGGCTCTGATCAACCTGTGCAGGTAAAATAAAACTGCCTTTAAGAGACATCAGCAACTGTAGGAGAAATGATGACCACAAAACAGAGAGGAATAAGAGAGATAGGTTTAAGAGTGGCTTTGGCAGAACTGATTGTTTTAACTAATGACTTCTTTGGTGCTTCTTAAGTATATAGATCTTAGTTTCCTCTTTCTTTTTTTTTTTTTTGAGACAGAGTCTTGCGCTGTCGCCCAGGCTGGATGCAGTGGTGCGATCTCTGCTCACTGCAAGCTCTACCTCCAGGTTCACACCATTCTCCTGCCTCAGCCTCCTGAGAGTAGCTGGGACTACAGGCGCCTGCCACCACACCTGGCTAATTTTTTGTATTTTTAGTAGAGTTGGGGTTTCATCGCTTTAGCCAGGATGGTCTTGATCTTCTGACCTCATGATCCACCCACCTGTGCCTCCCAAAGTGCTGGGATTACAGGCGTGAGGCAGTGCGCCGGCCTTAGTTTCCTCTTTCAATCCAGAAAGTCACAAATAAAACACAGGTCTTAGGTCTTATGGGTCTAAGTACATACTTACGTTCTTAACTTAAATCCTAGTTATGCTGTTTTTTGGCTTAGAGCTCTTTTGTTTGGTAACTCCTTATGTCTTAAAGTCACTTACAGTAATAACGGTCCTTTTGTGAAATTGAAAATGTGTCCTTAAGGTGCTGTTGATATGCAAAATGTGAAACCCAGCAGGCACTGATGCAGTGAGGATTGTGCCTTACAATGTGGTAGAGAAGATCAGTGCCCTCAAGTTTTTGAGCCAGATACTAGTCCTTCATTTGAATCTCAGCTCTCCCACTTACTTGTTCTGTGACTTTGCAAATTGCTTTACTGTTTTACACAAGTACTTTTCTCATGTGTAAAAAAAGAGTGTGCTAATAACTTTGTAAGATTAAATGAGTAATACATATAGAGTGTTTAAAACATAGTTGACAGTATACTTATAGATAAACATATATAAACTTACATATAAAAGAGTAATACGTATAGAGTGTTTAATACATAGTTGGCAGTATAAGGAACTGAATAAGTATTAACTCTATCAGTAGTATCTCTCAGTCTTTACTCTTTGATAAGTAAAATTTGATAAGCTGTTGTCTCTTTGAAAGTAAGTGAAATATGGGGTGGAGTCTCTTGCACTTCTTTGGGGGGAAAGATATGAACTAAAGCTGTTATAATTGCTGTTTGTCATGTTCTTCAGGTTGGTAACAAGGAAGATGCTGAGAAGGAAGTACCTATTTCTATCTTCTCATCCAGTAACCAGGTATCCTGCCCGCTGTGTAACCAAAGCTTTCCACCCACAAAGATTGAACGACATGCCATGTACTGCAATGGTCTGATGGGAGAAGATACAGGTAAAGACCCACCGGGACAGCCAAACTCTTACTTTTTTGTGTAGTGGTTTTATAATCCTATACAGTACAATGCAGGGAAAAAAACAGATAGCTATTCTTCAAAGTTAGAGTTCTTACTGGTTTTGGGTTTTTTCTATCTAGTTATTTTTCTAGTACTTTTATATTCATCATTACTTTTAGCAGGTATTTTGTCTTGTTACACATACCTCAGGAGAAGGGGAAGGGAAAAGTTTTTCATTTTTTAAGTTTTTGTTTGTTTGTTTGTTCTTTTTTTTGTTTGTTTTTTTGAGACAGAGTCTCTCTCTTTCACCCAGGCTGGATTGCAGTGGCACGATCTTGGCTTTCTGCAACCTCCACCTCCCAGGGTAAATGATTCTCTTGCCTTAGCCTCCCAAGTAGCTGGGACTACAGTCTTGCGCCACCATGCCTGGCTAATTTTTTTTGTACTTTTTTTTTTTTTCCGGCAGAGGCAGGATTTCACCATGTTGGCCAGGCTGCTGTTGAACTCGTGACCTCAAGTGATCCTCCTGTCTTGGCCTCCCAAAGTGCTGGGATTACAGGTGTGAGCCACTGCACCTGGCCCATCTTTTAACATATTAACTTACATAGATAGGCTAAAAATCAGTGCATTGCAATGGACCTTGCATTTCAACTTATGTGTTCAAATATTGAGATTTCTGTGGAACTTGAGGAACTAAGTTCTAGAGTTGCCCATTTTTCATTCAAAATAAATCCCTTGTAGGTTTTTTCCTCTTTTTGTAGTGTGTTTTAATAGAAATTCTACCTAGAGACAGCAGCTGAAAAATACCGCTAATTTACATTCATGTCCTACATATCTCTGCTGAGTTATCCAGGAGCTGTTGGTTTAATCTCTTTAAGAGTATACCAAAGGCCAGGTGCCTGTAATCCCCAACACTTTGGGAGACTGAGGTGGGTGGGTCACCTGAGGTCAGAAGTTCGAGACCAGCCTGGCCAACATGGTGAAACCCTGTCTCTACTAAAAATACAAAAAATTAACCAAGCGTGGTGGCGGGCTCCTGTGATCCCAGCTACTCAGAAGGCTGAGGCAGGAGAATCATTTGAACCCGGGAGGCAGAGGTTGCAATGAGCCGAGATCGTGCCATTTCACTCCAGCCTGGGCAACAAGAGTGATACTTTGTCTCAAAAAAAAAAAGAAAGAAAAAAAAGGTCTGTACCCAAATCCCCAGTTTTCAGACAGCATTAAGACATTGATCAAGAAAATCTTGTTAATCATAGCCCTTGAAATACCACCTCTGATTTGGCCTTTCTGTTTATGATTTTAAACTCTAAATATAGTCACGTCAGCACAGCTCTCTGTGGTCTAACATGCTGAATGTAAACCTGGGTAACTGGAAGTGTTGTAGTGTTCTTCTCAATGCTACTTGATTCCTGTAACTTAGATGTATTTAAATGTGACATTGTATAGTTGTGAAGTGTTTTTTAAATTAAGATTGCCAGAGAGGCAAGGCACATGTTATTTACTTTTCTTGAAATAATATACTTTGTAGTTATTAAATAAGGAAGTACATAAACACTTAATTTGTTGTTTTTTCTGATTATAAAGTAGTACATGTTCATTGTAATAATAATGGCTTACATTTATTGAATACTTAAAATTAGGCACTATTTACGTAAATGGGACCATGCTATATATAGCTGTCTCTATATATTATTCTGCAACTTACCATTTTTATTTAGCAGTAAATTTAGCTCTTTCCATGTGCAGATAAATTTTTGACATAGTTGAGGTTTGACTGTATATAAAATTTTATATTCTGCTTTTTCTATTTATAGCATAAATATTTCATCATGTCACAAAGTTATTTATAAAAATATTTTTAATGCCTACATAATATTTGGTAACCCGGATTGCTTTCATTTACTTAATTATACATATTTGAAATGCTTGAAGTTACTGTGTTATAATCACACGGTACTGAGCCTCTTAGCCTAAAATTGTCACTGTATTTTGGGATTATTTCCCAAGGATATGTTCCCATATAGGGTGGTAGTAAGAAAAGATAGGCCCTGGAAGGCCAGTCAATTTGAGCTTGAGTCCCACCTCTGTTACTGACTTACTAATGTGTGACCCTGTGCTAATTTCCAAGCTTCCATTTATGCATCTGTGAAATAATAATAATTACCTTGTTCAGATTTTGTGAGGTTAAATGAGATACTTTCAGGAAAGTACTTAACACAGTACCTAGCGCATAGTAAGTACATAAGAACTATTAGCTGTTGTTACTATTCCCAGTAGTGAAATTACTGTGTCAGAGATTTTTTTTAAGGGTCTCTATGCATAGCATTGTAGTCCCTAAAAACAGTGAAAGTTGAGGACCTGAATTTGGCCATCAACCACTTTTAGTGGGACAGCACTGAAGGATTGGAATCTAGATGCAGTTTTAATTTGAAAAAGCTCTTTAGTCTGAATTTTTTTTTTTTGCTGAGTATTCCAGTGACTAAAAGAATTCTGGGACTGAGTATTTCAAAGGAAAGAGACTCTCTTGTTTGTCTTACTAAGCACTTACACAGCTGGTATTGGGTATCTGAGTCAATGACTTATTCAACACAACATCAAGGTCCAGAAATAAATGAGTTTGAGAAACTGAATGCCCTGTTGAGCTCTAGGAATAGATGATCTCCTTCAGGTCAGAATGATCAGGTAAGGAGTAGTATAGGATAGCTTCTACTGACATCTCCCATACTGAATTCCACTAGTTGGTGCTAAAATAGGAGGCTTTGGCATTCATAACTGTCAGATATCTTTTAATTACAAGATAATTGCTGTTAAGCCTGTTCTTCCTTACTGGAGTGTGGTGAGAGAACTCAAACTCACATCCCCAAATCCTTGTGGTTGAAATTGATTCAGGCTTGTTCCTGAATTTTCTCAAACCAATTTTCAGACTTATGCTACTAGAACCAGGCCATTTAGGTGGGCAAAGTAGACTGAGTCTTATCATCATCATCATCCATTCAGGGAGGACATTTCAGGGTCTCCTCGTTCTGTTGGGTCCAGGATCAGTGACCCTGTCTAATGCTGTTCAACTGGATTTACACTCTGAGTATTGCAGACTTTCAGACATGATAGATGTAAATGTGATTTTTGATACAATAGAAAGTCCCTATATTCTTGGCATCATATGTCTTTATAGCTTTGATGTGAATACCCCAGACCTCCATGTAAAGATGTCTGCTGTATCCTGAATGACAGGCACACTTTCTTTTTCATAGGGAAATTTGTTATAAAACTAGTTTAGAAGACAAATCTAGAATATAGTCATGTGTTGCTCAGTGATAGGGATGTGTTCTGAGAAATGTGTCATTAAGTGATTTTGTGCAAATATCGTAGAGTGAGTGTACTTACACAAACCTTGATGGTGTAGTCTACTACACACCTACGCTATAAGGTATAGCCTGTTATCTTGGGCTACAAACCTGTACAGTGTGTTACTGTACTGAACACTGATCACTTGTAACACAATGGTATTTGTGTATCTAAACACATCTAAACACAGAAAAGGTATAGTAAAAATATGGTATTATAATTTTATTGCACCACCATCGTATAGATGGTCCGCATTGTTGGCTGAAATGTCTTTTTGTGGCGCATGACTGTACTACATCCTTCTTTTCAATGCCGATGTGTCTACATAGAGCCAGAAGTTTGATTCTTTTTTATCACCTATTCATATTTACCTTTAATTCATCCAGATATTCGGAACTTTTTTTTTTTTTTTGAGACAGGGTCTCACTCTGTCACCCAGGCTGGATTACAGTGGTGAGATTATAGCTCACTGCAACCTCTGCCTTCTGGGCTCCAGCAATTCTCCAACCTCAGCCTCATGAGTAGCTGTGACTCTGGGCACACACCATCCCACCTGGCTAGATTTTTTATACCTTCTTTTGTAGAGATGAAGTCTCACCATGATGCCCAGGCTGGTCTTGAACTCCTGGGCTCAAAAAGGCATCCCACCTTGGCCTCCTGAAGTGCTGGGATTACAGACGTGAGCCATCCTTGCCTGGCGTGACTTTTTTTTTTTAAATGGTGCTAGGCCTTATGAAGCTTACTAAAGAAGTTTTAAGATTTCTGCCTTCAAGGAGCTTGCATTATCAATGGTGAAATAAGCATTTCCCCAATAAATTAATTATAAGATGACACAAGTGAATAATTGTGTACCCAAGTAAATGTCCCTGACAATGGGAGAGAGGAGAGCTGCAGTGAATAAGGATGAGTTCCCAGAAAAGGTGGGCTTAGCCTTGGCTTTGCAGGCTGGTTAGGTCTGGATAAACCCATAGCAAAGTAGAGGGCCCTTTCCCTCCTGTGGGTTTAGGTAAGAAGTAAGGGAAATGGCCACTAAACAATAGCTTCGTCTTAATCTTCCTAAGAGAGCTCTCTGTTGATTTTTCAGGCCCTGTGAGAGGGAGTAGGGTGACCTCACTGGAACCATTCCACTCTCTGCATGTTCCTCTACTTTCCTGGGAATACAACTTGGGGGTGTAGGTGGGTTGGGGAAGTAGAGGAATTATGCAGAGCACCTGCTAGTGTACTTGGTGTACAATAGGTACTCAGTACGTTTGATCTCTTTTCTTGGTTTCCCTACCAGCTTGTCTGCCCCGTCTTCCTTGCCAGAGACAGAAGTTAGTGATTGTGCTGGTTCTTCTTAGCTTTATATGACTGGATACAGAGGCCAGGCTCCCAACCTGGTTTTTAAATCTTTTGTAAAAGGAAGCTTTTTTTTTTTTTTTTTTTTTTAACTGTGGAAGGAAAGGAGTAATTTCCACCCCCTGTTTTTTTGAGACAGGGTCTTACTCTGTAGCCCAGGCTGGAGTACAGTGGTGGAATCATGGCTCACTGCAGCCTCGACCTCCCAGGCTCAAGTGATCCTTCTGCCTCAGCCTCCCAAGTAGCTGGGACCACAGGTGCATGCCACCACACCTGGCTAATTTTTTAGTTTTTGTAGAGATGGAGTCTTATGCTGCTTAGGCTAGTCTTGAACTCCTAGGCTCAATTGATTCCTGATTTGGCCTCCCAAAGTGCTGGGATTATAGGCCTAAGCCACCATGCCTGGCAAGTTACTTTTCTTGAAGACACAGAAGCCAGGCTGGGAGACTATTAGCCCAATGCCTAAGGGGTGGAATAAGAGAGGACTTAACCTTCCAGTATTAAGTATCTAGCTTTTCACTCCTTCCTGTCTTCTCCTGAAGGGGATCCTAGATGTGCTTGGTTTGGCTGTGTAAAAGAAATAGCAATTAGAATCATTTACATAAAGTGTCTACTATTTGTGCCTACTTACCGTGGAGCACAATAACAATTATGCATATCATTAAATATATGTCTGACTAATTTTGCTGTAAGTTTTGATTATAATACTACACACTAGTTAAGTTGGCTCAGTCTACTCAGTTTTTTGCTCAATGACGTTGTCTATTCAGAACTACGAAAAATTAGAGGGGATGCTTTTTTTATTTTTGAGACGGAGTCTCGCTCTGTCACCCAGGCTGGAGTGCAGTGGCACGATCTTGGCTTCTGCAAGCTCTGCCTTCCAGGTTCATGCCATTCTTCTGCCTCAGCCTCCCAAGTAGCTGGGACTACGCGCGCCTGCTGCCACACTCAGCTAATTTTTATATTTTTAGTAGAGACGGGGTTTCACTGTGTTAGTTAGCCAAGATGGTCTTGATCTGCTGACCTCATGATCCACCTGCCTCGGCCTCCCACAGTGCTGGGATTCCAGGTGTGAGCCACCTCGCCAGGCCAAGGGAGTGCTCTTTAAAGGTACTGTTTGAGGGGAGAAGATTGACTGAGTTGATCTAGACTAGAACAAATGCACATTGCCTTTGCATTTACTTTCTGGAAAATGTATCTAAGGCCAATTGTGTTAAACACCTAGGGAGAATAAAATGCCCCATTTACTCGTTCAGTACATATTTATTATTTACTTACTATATAACAGATACAGTGAGCAGAATATACAATTAACAGAATATAAGTCCCTGTTCTCATGGAGCTTATATTCTAGTAGTGGGAGGCAGACAAGAAAACAATAAATATACAATATTTCAAGTGGTGATAAGTACTTTAGAGAAAAAAATAAAGCACAGGGAGAGGGGAATAGGCCATACTGAGGTCAGAAGTTAGCAATATAAAATAGGTGATCAGGGAAGGTCTCCTTGAGAAGAGAAGATGGCATTTGAACAGGGACCTAGAGTAAGTGAGGTAGTAAACTAAGAAGATTGTGAGGTGGGGAGAGTGCTATAGATAGAAGGAACAAAAATGCAAAAACCCTGAGTTGTGAACAGGTTGAGTGTGGCTGGATTAGAGTAAGTGAGGGAGAGATAAACAGTGAAACCAGAGAGGTAATGGGGGAGGAGTGCAGATGGACAGATCACAGGGTTCTTAGGCCATAATAAGGACTTTGGCTTTTCCTTGCGCAAGGGAGGAACCACTGGAGGGACTTGAGCAAAGAAGTAATCAATATTTAAGCAAAGGATCACTCCACTCTGCTACTATGTGGATTATTGGGTTGTGGGACAAAGGTGGAAGCTGGGAAGATAGAGTCAACATTTTGTTTTTGGCACTTTGATAAAGTAGAAGAAATGCAGGTTTTGGAACTAGGCAGCTCAGCTGTAATATTTCCTAATTGGCTAATATTTGACAAGTTATCTCTTTCAGGACAGGTTCCTCTTTTGTAAAATTAGTATCAGGATTGCCATGAGAATCACAGACACTTAGTAAAGTACCAGGCGTTGTGACTAGCATGTAATAGGTATGCAATAAATGATGGCTGTATTATTATTGACTGTGCTTTCCTGTCTGTGTAATCTTTCTGAGGTCTGTGTTTCTGTATGATGATGGGACATAAAGGATAAGCCACTAGTTGAGTAGAATTAAGAGAAAGAAGAAAGGCAAGGCATAAGAGTCAAAGGGGTAAGAATAAGTTAGGGAGAAATAGATTATAGGAGAGTTAGGGAAGCTGAAGGTATTAACTATATACACTTTGACTCTAGATAGAGGATGTGGCTTAGGGTTAGGATACAGCTAGGAGTGGACTTTCTTTTCAGGGATATCGCCTGGAAAAATAATGGTAGATGGGTGAGTAGGTAGGAGGAGGTAGGAATTCTTATTATAGATATGCCTGAGAGTTAACAGAGAAGGACCAAGGCCTAAAATAGGCTTGACTTGGGTGACTAAGAGAAAATATGTAAGACCTCAGTATCTCTAAGTAAAACTTATTTCTTAAATTAGACAAAGTTGGGACTTTTTCTGTTCTATATATGCCTATCTAAATGTAATTTGTACCCTGTCCAGTCTTCTCATTTATATTAATATGGCCTTTGTGGTACCCAGGAATTAAGTATATTGCTATACTGCTACTGGTACCTAGCTACTGAGGTGTTGACAATTGTGAAATAGCATAGGTTTTGTAGAAGTAATATGGATTTTGGGGACAGACTGACCTGTGGGGATATATACAAATCAAATATGGGCCCTGATCTCACTGACATTTCAGTTCAGTTAGGTAGATAAGACATGCACATGTATAACTGTAATGCAAGGTCAGAACTACTAAGGGACATACAAATAAAAATACTGTGGTGTTTCAGAGGAAGTACAGTTAGAGATTGAGAGGGAAGGGTATTAATGTAAGAGAACAATAGGCTAAAATTACAAATAGAAAAATGTGAAGAGAGCGTATAGGAAAGAACAAGCACTTCAGTGTGGTTATAGTGTGGGCATTATGAAAGGAACGGTAGGCAGTTGGAGAATGATAAATGTAACTTGAATCTTGTGGGTTAACATTTATATGAATTATGTGGGTTAACGTTATGGAACAGCATTTTTTTTCAACTAAAAAAATTATTGGTGTGTGTTACTAAAGTAATTATTTGTGTGTTTACTCCTATTGTAGTATATAGGACTCTTTTGGATGCAGGTGTTGAAAATATGATTTCAGTAGTTGGAAATATGATTTCAGTAACCTTAAGCAAAAAAAAAGTTAATCTGTATAATAATTGGCAAGTCTGTTTAGAGGTTAGGCTGAGCTGGATCTGGGAGCTCAGATAATGTCTCTCCATCTTTGAATCCAGTGGTCTCCATTCAACAGATGGCCTCTTCTTAAGGGACAAGCAAAATGGCTGCCAGTAGCCATAGCTTTTTTTTTTTTTTTTTTTGAGGCCGAGTCTGGCTCTGTCGCCCAGGCTGGAGTGCAGTGGCTCGATCTTGGCTCACTGCAAGCTCCGCCTCCCGATTTCACGCCATTCTCCTGCCTCAGCCTCCCGAGTAGCTAGGACCATAGGCGCCCGCCACCGCGCCCGGCTAAGTTTTTGTATTTTTTAGTAGAGACGGGGTTTCATCGTGTTAGCCAGGATGGTCTCGATCTCCTGACCTCGTGATCCGCCCGTCTCGGCCTCCCAAAGTGCTGGGATTACAGGCGTGAGCCACCGCGTCCAGCCGCCATAGCTTTTGTTTGTTTGTTTGTTTGTTTTGTTTTTTTTTTTGTTTTTGAGATGGAGTCTCGCTCGGTCGCCCAGGCTGGAGTGCAGTGGCCGGATCTCAGCTCACTGCAAGCTCCGCCTCCCGGGCTTACGCCATTCTCCAGCCTCAGCCTCCCAAGTAGCTGGGACTACAGGCGCCCGCCACCTTGCCCGGCTAGGTTTTTTTTTGTTTTTTTTTTTTTTTTTTTTTTTTTTTTTTGAGGCAGAGTCTGGCTCTGTCGCCCAGGCTGGAGTGCAGTGGCCGGATCTCGGCTCACTGCAAGCTCCGCCTCCCGGGTTTACGCCATTCTCCTGCCTCAGCCTCCTGAGTAGCTGGGACTACAGGCGCCCGCCACCTCGCCCGGCTAGTTTTTTGTATTTTTTTTTAGTAGAGACGGGGTTTCACTGTGTTAGCCACGATGGTCTCGATCTCCTGACCTCGTGATCCGCCCGTCTCGGCCTCCCAAAGTGCTGGGATTACAGGCTTGAGCCACCGCACCCGGCCTTTTTTGTATTTTTTTAGTAGAGACGGGGTTTCACCGTATTATCCAGGATGGTCTCGATCTCTTGACCTCGTGATCCGCCGGTCTCGGCCTCCCAAAGTGCTGGGATTACAGGCTTGAGCCACCGAGCCCGGCCAGCCGCCATAGCTTTTAATGGAAAGAAATAATTTTTTTTCCCCCTCAGACCATAGGTTAGTCTAGAGGAAGACTCTGATAGGCCTTTCTTGATTGAAGTGTCCGCTTATGGTGTAGTCACTGTAACCAAGTGGATGGGTATGTATTACTTACAAGTCAGAACAAGTAAAGGAAAACTCTTTCACTAACTATGAGAAATTCTGTTAGTATCTGTTAGAAAATTCTGTTAGTCACAATAACAGAAAACATCATTAACAGTGAGTTTAACACGTGGGATTTCTTTCTCCTCACATCACAAGTCCCGAGTGAGGCAGTGGCTCACTGATGCAACTGAGGATCAGGCTTTTGCCTTTGGCACTACAATCATAAACTTGTGGCTTGATTGACGGTTTCAGGATACCCATTGCATCTCTAGGCTTTGAATGTATGTTTGAGGCAGGAAGATGGAGAAAAAGGTAAAGGGACATGACTGCTGATTCTGACTCCTTTGATCTAACACTCATTCCTGCATTCTCATGGAATTTCAGCTTATTCTAAATTATGGTTGAATTAAGGCAGTTGTAAATTTAGTGTTTGTTCATACCTCTTAAGTGTTTATATATCTTGTATATAAAATTATTTTATCTCTAAAGTCATTGATTAATTGCTTTTTGTAGTGGTTCAGCTTAAGACTTTTTCATATCCTGCTGTTAGTGAAATATTGTGCTGGATGCTGAGGGTGAGGAGGAGCGGCCCAAAAGACCCAAAAGATGGTAAGGGATATAATACAGAGCTGAATCGGATCTCAAATTTGTACTCAGAGAGTTTACAGTCCAGCAAGGGAAACAGACTTGGGTATGACCATGTATAATACAACTCAGTCAAAGTGCTAAACTGTAAGCACTAACCACCCGCAAAGGAAGGTATTAAATTTGATTGGTGGAATAAGGGAGGGCTTCTTACTTAATTGTTCCCCTAATATTGAGCATGGCTTTTTTCTTAACCTATTTTTTTTTTTTTTTTTTTCTGTTAAAGATAAGCATCTAGGGCCAGTCATGGTCGCTCACACCTGTAATCCAAGCACATTGGGATGCTGAGGTGGGAGGATCAATTAAAGCCAGGAGTTCAAGACCAGCCTGAGCAACACAGGGAGACACTATCTCTACCAAAAATAAAAAATTAGCTTTGTGTGGTAGTACATGCCTGTAGTCCCAGCTACTTGGTAGGCTGAGGTGGGAAGATCGCTTGAGCCCAGGAGTTGGAGGCTGCAGTGAGCTGTGATTGCACCAGTCCACTCTAGCCTGAGTGACTGAGCAAGACCCTGTCTCAAAAAAGAAAAAAGAAAAAAAAAATCTAAATTAGCAGTGAGCCTTGTAATGTAGTACTTTAATCTGGATTACTAAAAGTAGAACTACTAGATTATATTTATAAAGCTACCAGTAGTTTATGAGAGCATTTCTTTTGCCTCCAAATACTGAGGGATATTCTCAAAAAAAGTATGGCATAGTAATAGATAGTAACCAATGACATTTCATTGTACTTTGTTTCTTTGGTTAGTAGTGAAGTTGACATTTTTTGTTTTTAAAAAAAATCAATTTATATTTATTTGAAGAATTATTCTCTGAAGTTTGCCTCTGTGTCTGTTGGGATCTCAGTATTGTTCTTATCAGTTTATACAAGTTCTTTATAAATGATTTACTTTTTGCCTCAGAGGTGCTTTCCAGGGTTTGTTTGACTCACCCATCAGTTCTCACAAAGTTTCCAGATTTATGCAGACTGGGCCAGCAGCCCCCTTCTTGCGTGAGCACTGCCAAAGCTTTTATTTCTTGAAATAGAAGCAGTGCTGATCCTGCAGAAAGATCTAATCGGTGTGAACAGAAGTGGCACTGATGTAGGGAAAAGGGTATTCAAATCCATGTAGAATTAAGAGGATGGGTGGGCAGCAAGTAGAAAGGAAAAAGAATTCATTGACTCCATGCTGTTCCATTCCTGTTTAAAAAAAAAAAAAAAAATTCATTGCTATTGCCGACTGGATGAAGAAGCTAGGGATAGAAGGAAGAGGAGGTGGGGCCTGGTCACGGGGGGGTCACAGGGGCTGGATGCCCAAAGTGTTATGTTTAAAGGAACTGGGATGTATCTCCAGAGCAACTGGAAATTTAAAAACGTACCTCTTCCACTAAATATAAAAGTAGTAGAAATGAAACCAACAAGTGAAATACATATATTTTTCTATATTCTTTCTGGTAGGTTGCAAGAACAAGCACTTTCCCTCCCAGTATTGGGATTCTGCTGATATGTATCTGGGATTCTGCTGATGTCTGTCTGTCTGCCTGTCTGTCTGTCTGTCTGTCTGTCTATATCTGTCTCCTGTATTTATATTTGTCCCTCCCAGAATTACATCATAAGCATCATCTAACATGCTGTTCAAAATTATTTATATTCATGACATTGCGTATAGTTTTTAACTTTCACAAATAATACAAAATGTACTTAGTTCTTTTCCTTGTTGTGGGAATATTTTTTGACAGAGGAAACCAAAGTGACAGGAGCAGCTTATAAAACAAAACGCAAAGATATTTAAGAAAGGATGTTTTGCGGCCGGGCGCGGTGGCTCACGACTGTAATACCAGCACTTTGGGAGGCCGAGGGGGGCGGATCACAAGGTCAGGACATCAAGACCATGCTGGCTAACATGGTGAAACCCCGTCTCTACTAAAAATTCAAAAAATTAGCTGGGCGTGGTGGCAGGCGCCTGTGGTCCCAGCTGCTCGGAAGCCTGAGGCGGGAGAATGGCATGAACCCAGGAGGCGGAGCTTGCAGTGAGCCGAGATCAGGCCACTGCACTCCAGCCTGGGCAACAGAACGAGCCTCCGTCCAAAAAAAAAAAAAAAGAAAGAAAAGAAAGGATGTTTTGAAACAGAGCCTGGGCACTAGGTCTTATCTGCTATAAAGTAGATTCTTCTTTAATCGGCTTCACCCTAGAACTGTTCAGTGTTTTCTGGAGAGGACATTATCTTATTCGAATGCCCACAGTACTGACATATACATACTCTTAGCTACTGGATGAACTCGTAGACCAATATTTCCACCCCAGACTTATGTTACACTGCATGCATGTTACTCCTCTTGGATTAATAACGTAGGAGTGCCAGGCGCGGTGGCTCAAGCCTGTAATCCCAGCACTTTGGGAGGCTGAGATGGGCGGATCACGAGGTCAGGAGATCGAGACCATCCTGGCTAACACATTGAAACCCCGTCTCTACTAAAAAAATACAAAAATCTAGCCGGGCGAGGTGGCAGGTGCCTGTAGTCCCAGTTACTCGGGAGGCTGAGGCAGGAGAATGGCGTAAACCCGGGAGGCGGAGCTTGCAGTGAACTGAGATCCGGCCACTGCACTCCAGCCTGGGCGACAGAGCGAGACTCTGTCTCAAAAAAAAAAAAAAAAAAAACAACAAACGTAGGAGCTCCTCCCTGCAACCCCTGTGGTCTCAGTTGTCTACTTTTTTTTTTTTTCTTTGAGATGGATTCTCACTCTGTCGCCCAGGCTGGAGTGCAGTGGCACGGTCTCGGCTCACTGCAACTTCTGCCGCCTCGTTTTAAGCAGTTCTCTCCCTCAGCATCCCAAATAGCTGGGATTACAGGCACGTGCCACCATGCCTGTATTTTTAGCAGAGGTGGAGTTTTGCCATCTTGGCCAGGCTGGTCTTGAACTCCTGACCTTGTGATCCACCTGCCTCGGCCTACTGAAGTGCTGGGATTACAGGCGTGCGCCACCGCACCCCATCTTCAGTTGTCTTCTTTTTTTTTTTTTTTTTTTTTTTTTTTTGAGGCGGAGTTTCGCTCTCTCGCCCAGGCTGGAGTGCAGTGGCCGGATCTCAGCTCACTGCAAGCTCCGCCTCCCGGGTTCACGCCATTCTCCTGCCTCGAGACTCCCGAGTAGCTGGGACCACAGGCGCCCGCCACCTCGCCCGGCTAGATTTTTGTATTTTTTAGTAGAGACGGGGTTTCACCGGGTTAGCCAGGATGGTCTTGATCTCCTGACCTTGTGATCCGCCCGTCTCGGCCTCCCAAAGTGCTGGGATTACAGGCTTGAGCCACCGCGCCCGGCTTCAGTTGTCTTCTAACAACTTTGTTCAACTTTGCTGTGGAACATTTCCTCATGTCAGCTCCACTAGGTTGCATTAATAAAGTAACTGTATGGCGTGACATATGAAATGGCAGCCTGACTGCAGTGTAGGTCTGCATGAATTCTCAGTGCTTTTACTCTTCCCATCTTGTTCCTCTCAACATTGACTTTGCCTTCACTTCAGTTATCCCATTCATTGTACCTTCATGCTAAGGAGCCCCCTGCCTCAGGATTTCTCTTAGCAGTTTTCTTCTGCCAGATGTGCTTATTTCTTCCTTGAAAAATAAAATAGTTCTTTTTAACACCTGAGTTCATACCCAAAGCATTATGTGTTAAAGGAATATTAACAGCAAAAACCATTTTAGAGAAGTTCTTCACTTCATGATCTAGTCACACTTTTGAAGTCAGGCATCTAGAGCATTTTGAGAAAGATAAAAGTTCAAGGAATTAATATTAGATCAGTGATCTCCATTAGAACGATCTTACAGCCACAGTCAGGACTATGATTATGTATTAATATAAGTTTTTATTATCTCCATTTTACTGATGATGAAACTAAGAAAGCTTTAGTACTTGCATTGTCAGGCAGTAAGCAGCAGAGCCAGGGCCCAGAGCTAGCATTCTTCATTACTGTGTTCTTTCTGCCTTCCATGTGTAGAGCTGGGACACACAGGGGAGTGTTCGAGAAGACCATGGAAACGTCAGTCAGTTTCAGGAAAGCAGAATGCTATATAGTCTTTTACCTCTGAGTGCAAACATGAATTCTCATCTCATCAGAACTGACCTTGTCAGCTTTTCAATTACCTAGAATAAATAGTTTGATGGATTAGACTCTTTCCTGGTGAACAGAGTCCATGTGACATAGTCACCTCTGTAAACCCTTGAGTGCAAAGTCAAAAAAAGATCAGATGAACCTTACTTCTTTCTGGTGGTAGCTGTGGAGATTGACCATGCACAGACTGATCTCTTACTAAGGAGTTTTCTAACGGCCTTATATAAAGGAAATACTTGATAACAAGATACTATTTTCTGTTAAGTAAAAGGATTTAATTTGCCGAATCTTTATAAGCCATGCTTAACGTTAAGCAACATTATGAACATTTATGAACACCTGCTATATACCAGTAACAGTGCTTTTTGTATATTGTTTTAATCCTCATAACAGTCTTTTGAAACAGGAATTATTTCACTTATAAAAGAGGACACTGAACTTGACGGGGAAATAATTTCCCCAAGATCACATACCTAGAAAGTGGCAGGAGCTGGGATACACCAAGTTAAACTCAAAAGCTAGTACTCTGTGCTCTATAGAATCTTCCATGAATGTTCAGATTTTTTTTTGAAAAAGTAAGTTTCAGAATACTAAATCCAATATGGTGGTCAGTATATTGTTTAAGAATTTGTGGTAAAACTGTGTGTTTGTATAAAAAGAAAGTAAAGTAATATAATTTTGAGAATAAAGGCCACCTCTGGGGTGGGGGATGGGGTGGAGGCAGAGAAATGAAATCCGAAACAAGCATACAGTTGGCTAATCAGTTTGGGCAATATTCTAGTTCTTAAGTTGGGTAATAGGTTCACGTATATATTCTTTTGTACATATTACGTTATAAAACCTTTTAAAGAATTGTATGTTTCTGTTATGCACCACTGTCATCCATTACATTTTCAGAAGAACCTTGGTAAACATTTGCTAGTGAAGTTCAGATAAATTCAGAGTCTTTTCTCCATATGAAACTTATTTACTATTTTTATTTAGGCTCTGATGACAGTATCCAGTGTGATTTGACTGCCATTGATGATTCTTTAGAAGGAGGGCTCTTGGGGTTTTTTCCTAGATCCTTATCTTTGTTACGTGATTTTCATACCAGTTTCTTCAAAAGACAGTGGCTAGTTTATCTTTGGTATTTGTCTTGCAAAAGGACTTTGTGTATGTGTGTGTGTTTTACTTTTAATTACCAAAAATTTCAAACTTAAAAATGGAGAGGATAGTAGTACCCTGAACCCCCATGTTCTACCTAGTCATTCATCAACTTGTGGCCACTGTTGTTTCAGATGTGTTGTATCCTGGATTATTTCAGATTATATCCCAGATATCTTTTTTTTTTTTTTTTTTTTTTTTTTTTTTTTTTGAGATGGAGTCTCGCTCTGTCGCCCAGGCTGGAGTGCAGTGGCACGATCTTGGCTCACTGCAAGCTCCGCCTCCCAGGTTCATGCCATTGTCCTGCCTCAGCCTCCCCAGTAGCTGGAACTACAGGCTCCTGCCACCATGCCTGGCTAATTTTTGTATTTTTAGTAGAGACAGGGTTTCACCATGTTAGCCAGGATGGTCTCGATCTCCTGACCTCATGCTCCTCCCACCTCAGCCTCCCAAAGTGCTAGGATTGCAGGTGTGAGCCACCGCACCTGGCCAATTAATTATATATATATATGTGTATATATATATATTTTTTGATATGGATTCTCTCTCTGTCGCCCAGGCTGGAGTGCAGTGGCGCGATCTTGGCTCACTGCAACCTCCACCTCCCGGGTTTAAGCGATTCTCCTGCCTCAGTCTCCCAAGTAGCTGGGACTACAGGCGTGCGCCACCACTCTTGGCTAATTTTTTTTGTATTTCCAGTAGAGAAGGAGTTTCACCGTATTGGCCAGGCTGATCTGGAACTCCTGACCTCGTAATCCACCCGCCTAGGCCTCCCAAAGTGCTGGGATTATAGGCGTGAGCCACTGCGCCCAGCCAATTAACAATTTTTTTTTTTTTTTTTTTTTTGAGGCGGAATCTCGCTCTGTCTCCCAGGCTGGAATGCAGTGGCGCGATCTCTGCTCACTGCAAGCTCCGCCTCCTGGGTTCACACCATTCTCCTGCCTCAGCCTCCCAAGTAGCTGGGACTACAGGCACCCACCCACCATGCCTGGCTAATTTTTTGTATTTTCAGTAGAGACAGGGTTTCACCATGTTAGCCAGGATAGTCTCAATCTTCTGACCTTGTGATCTGCCCGCCTCAGCCTCCCAAAGTGCTGGGATTCCAGACTTGAGCCACCGCACTCAGCCGATAATTTTTTAATACCACCAAATATCTGGTTTGTTCAGCTCTCCTTGAGTCCCATAATTGTTTTTTTTTGTTGTTTCTTTTTGTTTTTTTTTTTCACAGTTTGTTGAAAACAGGATCCAAACAAATTTTACACATTGGAGAAAGCTTTTGTTGCTAATATCTCGGGCTCTTTTAGTTTACAGAAGAGTCAAACCCCAAAAAGTTCTTTTTAAAGTCTGAATCATTCATGAATTACATATAAGCTTAATATTGTTAACAGTTACTGTGTCATAGTCCTTTAAATTCCCTCCACAGTATCTAATATGGTACTGTGCAGGTAGGCCCTCAGAAAATGTACTCTTAAAAGCAAAGTCTAGCTAACTTTCTCTGAAAGGAATAGATAGTAAATATTTTAGGCTTTGCAGGCCATATGGTCTCTGTTGCAACTACTCAAGTGTTTGTCACTGCTACTCAACTCTGCTGTTAAAGCACTAAAGCAGCCATAGACAATTTGTGAATGAATCAGGCGGCTGTGTTGCAGTAAAAGTTTATTTATGCAAAAAGCTGGGCGGAGCGCGTTAGCTCCAGCCTGTAATCCTAGCACTTTGGGACGCCGAGGTGGGCAGATCACTTGAGGTCCAGAGTTCGAGACCAGCCTGGCCAACATGGTGAAACCTCATCTCTACTAAAAATCAGCCGGGCATGGTGGCACCCTGCCTGTAATCCCAGCTACTTGGGAGGCTGAGGCAGGAGAATCGCGTGAACCCAGGAGGCAGAGGTTGCTGTGAGCCGAGGACACCATTGCACTCCAGCCTGGGCAACAAGAGCAAAACTCCGTCTCAAAGAAAAAAGTTGGCTGGCCACCCCTGTTCTAGAGAACTGGTTTTTCGTTGTTTTTTTTTTTTTTTTAAAGAGGCCACGCCCGGTTGAGAACTGGTTTTTCAAAATGTCCTCTAGTTAACTAGGGTTCTGTAAAGGTGTGGGAAGGGCAGAATGAATACTGGTAACACTCCAGAGCTCTACATTTATGTATTTTACATACTGGATTTCATGTGAAATTTTATTTGAAAATAGGATTCTCTTTTTTTTTTTTTTTTTTTAAATTGAAATTTGGCTGGGCATGGTGGCTCACCCCTGTAATCCCAGCACTTTGGGAGGTCGAGGTGGGTGAATCACTTCAGGTCAGGAGTTCAAGGCCAGCCTGGCCAACGTGGTGAAACACCATATCTTCTAAAAATACAAAAATTAGCCAGGCGTGGTGGCGCACACCTGTATCTCAGCTACTTGGGAGGCTGAGGCAGGAGAATCACTTCAACCCAGGAGGTGGAGGTTCCAGTGAGCTGAGATTGCATGACTGCATGCCAGCCTGGGCAACAGAGTGAGACTCCATCTCCAAAGAAAATAAAAATAAGAGACATAACCACCAAGCTGGGTATCGGGGAGATGGCCGAGACTGACCCCAAGACCGTGCAGAACCTCACCTCGGTGGTGCAGACACTCCTGCAGCAGATGCAAGATAAATTTCAGACCATGTCTGACCACATCATTGGGAGAATTGACGATATGAGTAGTCGCATTGATGATCTGGAGAATAACGTCTCAGACCTCATGACACAGGCTGGGGTGGAAGAACTGGAAGGTGAAAACAAGATACTTGCCACACAAAAGAGTTGAAGGTTGCTAATAATTTATGCTGGAATCTGGAACACCATGTTTCCAAGCCAAGAGAAGATCGAATGGCTTTTTACAGCTAACTACTACGTATAGACAGGTTTTATATTATAAAGTATGCATTCTTATCACGTACTATATAGTTAGTTTGTAGAGTGATTTACCCCCCCAGTTTCTTGAACATAGTGTCTTCACATCTTGGACCTTGGTCAGTAGTGCTATTCATTATTAAACACTAAAACTTTGGGGGTTCCTGCATAACATTGTCAAATTTTTTAGTGTATTTCTGTGAAGTCATATTTTTTTTCTTGTCATTCCTTTTGTAGTAGTTGCTGTTTGGATAAAAGTTGCTGTGTGATTTTTTTATTAAACAAATAGTAAACCCTTCGGGAAAATAAATAAATAAATAAATAAATTCATGAGTCTGTGACACACTACTGGCCTTTTTTTGTTTTTGTTTTTGTTTTTTTCTTTTTTAAAGAAATGGTGTCTTACGTTGCCCAGGCTGTTCTTGAATTCCTGGGCTCGAGTGATTTTCCTGCTTTGGCCTCCCAGAGTGTTGGGATTATAGGCATGAGCCACCATACCTGACTGCTACTGGTCTTTATAGTAACAGTGACTGCTGTTACTACTATTTTGTGCAAGGCACTATGCACTTATGCACTTAACTCTTATTTTACCTGATCTTTGCAGTAACGTTACAAGTTAGGCTTTGTCATCCTTAGGGAGAAGTAACTTGCTCAAAATCGTTAAGCTAGTAATTGGTAGTGTGGGAATTGAGACTTAGACCTGTTTATTTCAGGGCCTATTCTTTTTTCCTCTCTATTTTGAAAATTTTCAAATTTCAGAAGTATGAGATACAAAAATAGTGTACTTTCTGTATCCTTCCTATTTCTCTTCTTTTTCTTTCTCATATATATATTTTTACATATATGGACTTTTCCCTGACCATTTGAGAGTTAGTTGCATAAATCATGACACTTTACCTCTAAATACTTTAATTAGTATGCATCTCTTGTTGTTGTTGTTTTTGTTTTTTGAGACAGGGTCTTGCTTTGTCACCCAGGCTGAGGTGCACTGGCATGATCATAGCTCACTGTAACCTTGAACTCCTGGGCTCCAGCAGTCCTCCCACCTCAGCCTCCCTAGTAGCTAGGACTACAAGCACTCACCACCACACCCAGCTAAATTTAATTTTAATTTTGTAGTGATAGGGGTTTTGCTGTGTTGCCCAAGCTGATCTCAAACTCTTGACCTCAAAAGATCCTCCTATCTTGGCCTCCCCAAGTGCTGGAATTAAACCACTGAGCTCGATCAGTGTGTATCTCTTAAGAACAAGATCATTCTACAAAATAATGTGTTACAACACCATTATTATACTCAAGAAATTTAATGTTAATGCCAATACTATTATCTAGTATATAATCCACGTTCACATTTCCTCAGTTGTTCCAGTAGTATCCTTTGTATCTCTTTTTTGGGGTAAAGGATCCAATTAAGCATCATACATTGCATCTAGTCATATATCTTTATTCATCTTTAGAGGGTTTCCCCAGTCTTTTTCCCTCTGTTATTTTATTATGAAAATTTTGAATACACAACAAAGTTCTTACAACAAAGAATCTTGCTACTTAGATTCCATTAATATCTTACTATGTTTTATTACAAATCTGTTTATCTCTCTAGCCATCCTTTAATCCACGTTATGTTTTCGATGCTTTGCAAAGTAAGTTGCAAATATTGGTTCATTTTCCCTGAAATACTTAAGCATGCAGATCATGAACTAAGTTCCAATATTTGTGTGAAATGCACAAACATTAAGTGTAAATTTGCAGAGTTTGGGCATATGCATATACCTATCAAGACAGAGTATTAATATCACCCTGGAAGAATCCCTCATATCTCTTCTTCTCCCCTCCCCCTAAAGGCAACCACTGTTTATTTCTGTAAAATTCTGCTTATATGATATTCTAGAATTTGATATTAGTAGAATCATACCAGTATACTTTTGTGTAATCTTTCACTCAGCATAATGTTTTTGAGATTGATCCATGTTATATACCTTTTTATTACTGAGTAGTATTCTAGCGTGTGAATATACCAGTTTCTTCATACAGTTCTTTTGGTGTATTTTTCACTATTACAAAGAAAGCTGCTGTGAACATTCTTGTACAGGTTGTATAGTGAGCATAAGATTTCACATCTTTTGAATAAATAGCTAGGAATGGAATTGCTAGGTTATAAAGAACCTGCCAAACCTTTTTCCAAAGTAGTTGTACTATTTTAATTCCCACTAGCAGTTTATGAGCATTCTAGTTATTTTACTAGTTTTACGTCTTTGCCACCATTTGATACTGTTTTACCCCCTTAATTTTAGCCATTCTGGTAGTCATGTAATGATTCTTTTTTTTTTTTTTTTTTTTTTGAGACGGAGTCTCGCTCTGTCGCCCAGGCTGGAGTGCAGTGGCCGGATCTCAGCTCACTGCAAGCTCCGCCTCCCGGGTTCACACCATTCTCCTGCCTCAGCCTCCCCAGTAGCTGGGACTATAGGCGCCCGCCACCTCGCCCGGCTAGTTTTTTTTTTGTATTTCTTAGTAGAGACCGGGTTTCACCGTGTTAGCCAGGATGGTCTCGATCTCCTGACCTCGTGATCCACCCGTCTCGGCCTCCCAAAGTGCTGGGATTACAGGCTTGAGCCACCGCGATCGGCGTCATGTAATGATTCTAATTGCATTCCCTGATGGCTAATGATGTTGAGCACTTTTTTTTTCACATGATTGTTGTCTAATTTTGTATCTTCTGTAAAGTGTTCAAATGTTTTGTCCATTTTAAAATTGGATTATGTGACTTTTTATTATTGAGATAGGAGTTCTTTGTATGTCCTGAATACCAGTTGTTTGTCAAATATGTGTTCTACAAATATTTTCTTCTAGTGTGTGCTTGCCTATTCATTTTCTTTTTCTTTCTTTCTTTCTTTTTTTTTTTTTTTTTTTTTTTGAGACAGAATCTCACTCTGTCACCCAGGCTGGAGTGCAGTGGCGCAATCTCGGCTCATTGCAGCCTCCACCTCTCAGGTTCAAGCGATTCTCCTGCCTCAGCCTCCTGAGTAGCTGGGACTCCAGGTGTGTGCTACCATGCCCGGCTAATTTTTGTGTTTTTAGTAGAGACGGGGTTTCACCATGTTGGCCAGGATAGTCTCGATCTCCTGACCTTGTGATCCACCCGCCTTGGCCTCCCAAAGTGCTGGGATTACAGGTGTGAGCCACTGCACCCAGCTGCCTGTTCATTTTCTTAATGGTGTGTTGCTGTGAAGAAGATTTAAGATGGTCTAATTTTCCATTTTTTCCTTTATGGTTATTATTTTCTATTTAGGTATATTGTACATCTTGAATTGATTTTTGTGTATGGTGTGAGTTAGGGGATGAGGTTTATTTATTCTATGTAGATACCTAGTTATTCTAGCTCAGTTCATTTAAAAGACTTATTTCTCTCAATGGGTTGCTTTGGTGCCTTTGAAAACCAACTTACTGTATAAGTGAGAGTTTATGTCTAGGTTCTCGTTTTTATTTAATTGATCTGTTTGTCTTTATGCCAGTACAAGTGTCTTGATTATAGTAGCTTCATAGTGAGTCTTAAAGTCAGGTAGCATAATTTCCCATTTGTTGTTTTTCAAGATTGTGGCAGATACTCTTTTTTTTTTTTTTTTTTGAGATGAAGTCTCACTCTTGTCCCCCAGGCTGGAGTGCAGTGGTGTGATCTTGGCTTACTGCAACCTCTGCCTCCTGGGTTCAAGTAATTCTCCTCCCTCAGCCTCCTGAGTAGCTGGGATTACAGGCGCCTGCCACCACGCCCGGCTAATTTTTGTATTTTTAGCAGAGATGGGGTTTCACTATGTTGGCCAGGCTGGTCTCGAATTCCTGAGCTCAGGTGATCTGCCTGCCTCAGCCTCCCAAAGTGCTGGGATTGCAGGCATGAGCCACTGTGCCCGGCCAGATTGTGGTAGATATTCTAGTCTTTCACAGTTTCATATAAATTATTCAGCCAACATGTAAATATACTATATAATTTCCAGTTTTATCTCTGATAGTGTGTATATATATGTGTGTGTATATGTGTGTGCGTGTGTATGTGTGTATATGTTTTTTTTTTTTGAGATGGAGTCTCGCCCTGTTGCCCAGGCTGGAGTGCAGTAGCGCAGTCTTGGCTCACTGCAACCTCTGTCTCCTGGGTTCAAGCTATTATCTTGCCTTAGCCTCCTGAGTAGCTGGGATTACAGGCACCCGCCACCATGGCCAGCTAATTTTCGTATTTTTAGCAGAGACAGAGTTTTACCAAGTTGGCCAGGCTGGTCTCAAACTGCTGACCTGAAGTGATCCACCTGCCTTGGCCTCCTAAAGTACTGGGATTACAGGTATGAGCCACTGTGCCCGGCCTTCTTTTCTTCTTCTTATTTTTTTTTGCTTTTGATACAGAGTCTCACTGTGTTGCCCAGGCTGGAGTGCAGTGGCAGTGTCTCAGCTCACTGCAACCTCTGCCTCCCAAGTTTAAGGGATTCTTGTGCCTCAACCTTCCAAGTAGCTGGGATTACAGGCACGTGCCATGACGCCCAGCTAATTATTTCTTGAAGTGTATTTTATCTGATAGAACAACTAGATATGGTTCTAGTCATTTCAGTCTTATTCCTACTGTTTGCCTGATGCGTCTTTTTCCATTCGTTTACCTTTAACTGATCTGTGTTTTTATTTTTAAAATGTGTCTCCTGTAGACAATATACCATTGGGTCATGCTTTTATCCATTCTGACAATCTCTTGTTGTTCTCTCAGGTACTAGACTTGATAATCTTATTCTAATAGACATAGCTTCCTAACTCAAACATCTTACGTGATTATGTTGGTAGTTCCTAAATAGAAATCTTTATAACCCTAAAAAGATAAGCATTGCTGGGTCCATTTACAGATGAGCAAACAAAGGCTTAGAGTCTTCAAGCCTGTAATTATCTGGTCTGGGATAGGATTCAAAGGCAGTTAGACTCCAGAGACAGTACTGCAATGCCAAACTGCCTTTGCTGCAAAAAAGCCACAGAGGCCCCCTCCCTCCCTACTCAAATTGTAGCAATTTTCTTTCAAGCTTAGAGATAAGCTTGTTCTCTTAAGAGGTACACTTTTACTGATCTACTTCCTACTAGTACTTGTCTATAATATTTATAGCTTAATCTTTAACAGCTGAAATTTTTATTTAAGCAATTTGATAATATATATGTAG